GCGCGGTACGTGTAGTAGTCTCTCTCTCTCTCTCTCTCTCTCTCTCTCCCTCTCTCTCCCTCTCTCTCTCTCTTATGTACCGCTAACACCGTCCCGCACGCAAAAAAGTCGCCATGATCGTCTTCTCGGTCGGCACCTACTCGGTCAACTCCATCATCCTCGGCTGGGTCGCCAGCACGTGCTCGCAGACAAAGGAGAAGAAGGCGTCGTCGCTCGCCATCTCAAACATGGCCGCCGCCGTGTCCTTCATCTGGACGCCGTACCTGTGGTGGGAGTGGGACGCGCCGCGCTACACGCTCGCCATGGGGTCCAGCGCCGGCCTCAGCGTCGCCACCGTCATCGGCGCCTGGGCCATGCGCTTCTGGCTCCAGCACATGAACAAGAAGATCCGCCGGTCCGACGACGAGGCCGTCTTGTTTTATGCGTACTGAGGCATGGTGGCATGGTTGTGTTGCCTTTGCTTTTGTGAGATTTGGATATAAGGGAGCAAGGTTTGTTCTCTGGTGCGCCATGATGTGGAATGTGTTGGACACGGTGGGGTGTCCTTGTTGGATCACAGACATTCGGCAATAAATTTCGTGATTAAATAGGCGATAGCTCTTATTCACGTACCTGCCAGGAATACTTGATGTCTGGCTGATGTGTCCTCCCTGTGGCAAGCATACCGTCGGCATCTCCCAGCCCCTTGGTCCTGGTCAGGACATCTAACCCAAAGGTATGTATGCAAGGCATAAGAATCAGTCCTTGGATACAGCCCGTTGACGGCACCGTACGCCCGGTGGCGCCTTCCGGCAGAATCTCGAGGACTGGGGAGCGCGGGTGTGGCGGAGCTGTCAAGGTCGTGGTTTGCAGTGGCAACAACACAGCACGCGAGCCTCCTCCGAGTGGAATGTTTTGACGTCGATAGTACCCCTCCCCCAAATACTGTCTCACAATCTCGCGGATGGCAGCGTGTGGCAGGGGCTCGAGCCTCACATTGGCTGAAGGAGGAGGAGGTCGGCGGCATCGAAGGTGTGTGGTGTTGGCGGTGGTTTATGCGGGTGTAATTGCAACAAGAATCACAACGGCGCAACCAGGCGATTCCAAGACACGGTTTGGTGTTTGTCCCTTATTCTTATTCCCTTGGCAGCCCCTGCAGCTTTTGTTGACAAGACGCGCATCGCCGACTCAAGTCTTGAGGAATGTGCCTGGTTCATGTGCTGATCCCTCCCTATTCCCCGAATCACCGCGTCGCGAAATGCTGGGGCTGGTTGGGTGTGCCGCCGTCTCTGCCTGGCGGGCCGGGTGGAATGCGGCGGCGGCATCACAGCGCGTGTGCAGCCTCGAGTGTGTAGATATAACATGGAGTGTTCATGGCCGGGCAGACCAGCAGCGCTCCCCTTCCCTCTTCCTCTCTTTGGTTTCTCGAGGTCAGGCTCTCTCCCACTGGTGTCCCTCCTTTTTTCATCTCTTCCCAGGAATAGCCGTCTACCCTTTCGGCATCCGCTCTCTAACCCCCTTTTGAGCCCGCCCATCCATTCCTTCAACTTGGTTCATCATCAAAACAGCCGCAACCATGCCCTGGATCACCACCTCGTCGTCGTCCTCGCCGGAGCAGCAGCCGCTGCACTCGCCGCGCGGCCACCACCCGGCCTCGTCGCCGTCGCCGCCCGTGACCTACATCCCGCCCCTGATCGACGGCGCGTGCGGCACGGTCCCGCACGCCCAGCGCCCTCCCGCCCGCGCCCTCGAGGCCGACGCCCGCGCCCTGCTCTGGCTGCTGCCGGACCTGGCCCTCACGGCCTGGGACGCCGTCGTCAACGGCGGCGACGGCTACCCCCAGGCCCTCTCCGCCAGGGCCGCCCCCGCCCCGCCGGCCACGTCGCTCTCCGGCAGCGGCGGCAAGCTCAAGGGCTTCGCGGCCCGGGCGGCGACCATGGCCGCCATGGCGGTCGGGTCGCGCTGGCCGGCCGCGGCGCAGGTGCCGTGGCGGTACGCGGCCGACGTGGGCCTGCAGCTGGCCGTGGGCGTGGTGGAGCTGTACATCATCATGCTGGCCCTGCCCATCTGGCTCTTCCTCCCCGGCTTCGTCTTCTCCGTCTGGAGCCTCTGCTCCGCCGCCGCCGTCTGGTGCCTGTGCCGCCTGCTCAACTCGTCGGGCCCCGTCGTGCGCCACCCGGGCCCGGCGGCCGACGGCGGCGGTGGCGGTAGCTGGATGATGGGGCCCGACGGCGAGGACGAGCGCTGGTTCTTTGTTGGGGGCATGGGTGTGAGGTAGGCAGATTTGAACCCGGCTTAAAAAAGCGCGTGCTTCCGGTGGCTAACACTCCCTCCTCTAGCTCCCGCACCATCACGGGCTCGACCCTCCCCCGCCTGGCCAAGCTCTTCAACCGGCCCATCACGGCCATCGTAGAGCCGACGTACGGCCTGGCCGTAGACCTGGCCCTTCTCCTGGCCGAGCGGGCCGGCGTGCCGCTGCCCCTCGGGCTCGGGCTCGGCGGCGGCGGCGGCGGCGGTGGCGACACGCAGCGCCTCCTGTACGCGCAGGCGCGCGCGGCGCTGCAGGACCCCTCAGCCAAGCGCGTCGTCATCCTAGCCCACAACCGCGGCAGCCTGGCGGCGTCGCGCGTCCTCAGCCGCCTATGCGCCGACCTGCCGCACGCCCGCCTGTCGCGCCTCGAGGTCTACACCTTCGGCGCCGCCGCCGACGAGTTTGTCGTGCCGCTCGGTGGCGGGCGCGACGGCGGCTCCACCTCTCCTGCTGCTGCCACCAACAACAACGGTACAAACGGCACAAACGGCAGCGTGCTGCCGCAGTCGGCCGCAGAGTTCATGGCGCGCCGCGGCGGGCCGCACATCGAGCACTTTGCGCACGCGCGGGACCCGTTTGCGCGCCTGGGCGTGCTGCGCAGCGTGCGCGAGGACCTGTCGGGCCGCTTCTGCGGCGGCGTCTTCGTCATCAACGCACCCGGCGTCAGCCCCATGACGGCCGCCGTTGCGGCCCGCATGGGCATCAACGGCAGCGGCGGTCGTAACGGCGCTGCTGCTGCCGCCGCCGCCGCCGCCACGACCAACGGCAGCAGCGCCAGCGCCAGCCGCCTCTACAACCAGTACCAGTACCAGGGTCCCCACCAGCCACCCAACGGCGCCATGATGAGCCCAGGAGGGAGCAGCAACAGCAACAGCAGCAGCTACGGCGGGGAGGACCGGTCCCCGCTGCTGGGCGGGCTGCTGCCGGCGGCGCCGCCCGTGGTCAGCCTCGACGACTACCTGGCCGCCATGTTCCCGGAGCAGGTGCCGACGCTGGCCAACTGCGGGCGCGCCAGCGTCATGGAGAGCACCGTGGTCGTGGACCGCGACGTGGCCGAGCGCCGCGAGCAGGGCGCCATCGCCTCCGACGCCCTGGCCAACAAGCACGCCGAAAGCGTGGCCGCTGTCGGCAGGCGGAGCGGCGGCGGCGGCGGCGGCGGTGCGGCCAGGAACGGAGGAGTGTCCGGCCTGGGACTACACGCCGCCGCCGCCATCGTCAAGGGCGGCGGCGGCGGCGGCCCGTCCGACATGTCGGTCGGCAACTCGTCCTCGGCGGCGGCGGCTGCTGCGGTGGCGGTCAATGGCGGCGGCGGCAACAGCAGCAGTAGTAGCAGCAGCAGCCACGGCAGTGGGGGTGGCAGTAAGCGCCTCAGCTGGACGGGTCTGGGGGCCAAGGTGGCGGGCGGCAGCGAGGACGGCCTGTTCGGGCTCAAGATGGCGCGCAAGATGTGCGAGGAGTGCAAGGGCCACCGCGGCCGCGAGCTCAGCCGCCTGTGTCACTACGTCAGCTCCGGGGCCGTCATGAGCGTCGGCGGCGGGTACGGAATGGAGGATGTGCGGGAGGAGGACGTCATTTCGAGCAGGGTGGGTTCGTGAAACGGCTGTAGAGTGCCCGTGGTGTGGGGGTTTGCAAGGCTCGCCTGATGATACGTTGTTTCCGTGGTCATTCCCTCGTTTCTGTATTTTGTTTTCCTCAAGTAATATCTAGTTGTCAATGCCTGTCCAGCGCCACCTTACTGGTAGCATTGGAGAAACAAGTCATCTTGATCCCCGCCGCTGACTGTTGTGACCATGCTTCCTTCCCCTTCGCTCGACAAGGATGGCTCCATGACACATTCCCGCGCCCAAAGGGTCGCCGCTCGTCGGTCGCATGGGTTCGATGCAGCACGTGTATGTAATTCGCAAGCCTCGTCGTGGAATGGTGTGGGCTATGAATTCGAGGAAGCAAGGGATGCCCTGGAATGTCAGTGTATATCATCGTCACTCGGACGCGTGTCCGCCAACCCCTCCATCGTTAGCCCTGCTAGACCCGGCCTCCCCGCAAAGAGGCCGCGTCTTCCTTGCAGTCCTGGGTGCGCCTTGTTCACCGTCGAGTTTGTGGCACGGATTGCAAAATGGAAAAGAGGACGGGTCTTGGGAATTCCGTGGGATTAAACTGAGTAACGCAGGTCCGGTTTCTCCAGAAGAAACAACAAAACTCTTGCAGGCTGAAGACGGGGAAAAGAAACGAACAAGGACATTCCCTCAAAACTCTGATTCTCTCCCTGACAACTATCCCTGCTCCGGGCATGCTCGATAACAGGCATCAGATCAAAATCCGGGTGGTTGCTTGTGACAGCTTTCGTCTCTTCCGCACCTCCTGGGAAGGGTATGGACAAACCCCCGAAAGCAAACGCTGACGACAATGACTTTGGCCAAACCGGTCCCCAAAGGGACTCGGAACGCAACGCAGGATCCATTAATGCATTCGCCCATTAAAATAACCAAAACGACAAGCCAATCTCTCTATCTAGGGTATGTGTGTGAAGGTGTGTAGGAAGGGGTATATAACGCCGTGTGCTATGTGCGGGTATATCATGTGTATCGGATGCAGTGTGCCGGGCAGGCTTGGGTGGCTCTGTTGGGCCAGGCCGCCTGATTAAAGTAGTAATGGCTGGAAGATGGGCCGGGGCTTCTCGTGTGGTGATCGTAAATGGCGTGACGTATGCTGCTTAACAAGAAAGAAACGACAAATGAAACTCGCCGGGCTGCTCTACTGGGCTTGTCATGACCTTTGCGAAGTGATCATGATATGGCCGCCTTCGAGAGAAGGAAACGACAGGGCGGTGATGGCCCCGCCGCAGCAGAACAGGCAGTGCGGTTTTACCCACCCAGCGGATGCTCAGAACGTCTTGCTACCCCAGAGACGCCACCGCCTGCCCCTCGACTCCTTCTCGGCGGACGCACTGCCGCTGATGGCGGCGCCGGCAGCGTCGTCCTCGTCCAGGTCGAGCCGGTAACGGCGGACGCTGCCGCCGTCGTCGTCGAAGCCAATGTGTCGACGTTCCTTGGGGATGAAGCACTCGGGGACGATGTTGCGCATGACCCAGCCCCGAACGCCGCGGCTGGCGGCGTCGATAGCGGCATACTCCAGACGCCGCGTCCTGTCGCTGGTCCAGTAGTGCGTGGTCTGCGGTGGCACAGGAAACGTGGGCGTCTCGGAGCGCAGGGGAGACTGCGGCTGCTGGTACGACTGCCGTCGGGGGGCGTAGTCGAAGCTGCTGGACGTCGCGACACGAAGCGGAGGTGTCGACGACGGGCGCGGGCATGCAGCACCCAGGGCCGCGGGCTCCTCGGCGTCCTCTGGCGGCTCAGGCGGCGCTGGGAAGTGGAAATATGTTATCGGCTGCTGAGGCTGCTGTTGAGGGCGGTTGTAGAGCGAGTGTGCGCTCGAGCGGGGCAGATGCGAGATTGGCCCCGATTTGGCGGCTCGTCGCACGGACGGCCGGGCCCGCATCCGAGCACCACTGCTGCTGCCACCGGCGCCTCCCGAGGCACTGGATGACGTTGCTGAGGCCCTCCTCTTTGAGGGCGGAGAGTCCTGGTGCATAGATGCGTAGCCCGAATCCTGACGACGCATCTCGGTGGCCTCAAACTCCACACAGCCAGGGCTGACCGGGCTGGTTGGCGAGGTGGCCGCCGAGGTGGCTGCAGAGGTGGCTGAGGTTAAAGACGACATTGGTGGCTCGAACAGCTCAATGTCATGAAAGCTGTGGTAGGTGGCGTCTGACCGAAGGCTCGACTTGGAGTGACGGCGGGACAGCGAAGCCAGACGGGACATTGCTTTTTAGTCTGGGCCTCAAGGACACCTCTAGCGGGATCATCGAAGCCAGCAACACGGTAGCTCTGCAGGTGTTAAGTGGCAAGGAGCTATTCGCAGCTGATGTGGTTTCTCGTTGGTTTAGTGTCGTTTTTGTAACTGAGACAGGTTGAACTCAGGACAGCACCGAAGGTGGACGGGGCGTCTGTGAGGAATTTTCTCTTTTTGATGCTCTGGCCAGCAATTGAGCAACGGGGAGTTATAAGTGTGGAAGGGCAAGGGCTAAGTCGGTCCCAGGAAACTCCTTTGGCGTCTCCTTCGTTGCTGCGGTGAGCCTGTAATTGGATGGGGCAGCCAGAAGTTGCGGTCTGGCGGTTTTACGGTCCAATGGAGCGGGCTGGGGTGGGTGTTTATGGGCGGCAGGGGAGGAGGCTGTCCGCAACGCAAGCCGATGCGCTGGGCCGGAAGACGGGGGGTGCGCTCGGCTAGTGCGCAGGAGTTCCGCTTGGCTGCGTGGGAGACCAGCCAGTGTCCTATTGGCACCGAGGGAAGCGTTGGGGTGGGCGCAGGCCTTGCCAGACCGCAGCTCTAGCGCGCGGCAGGACAGGGGTAGGGCTTGGTGCTGCCAAAGAGAGCTCCCTGCCGGCCACCCTCGTCTGGGTTGGGGGACGTGGGCTGGCTGTTCTCTGGCCGGCTGCCCTCTGCCTGGACACCTGGACTTGTGCAGACGCTTGACAGTCTTGGGCAAGGGCAAGCGTGGGGAGAGGTCCCAGGTGGCGCCCAGGGCTGGAAGACGATCGGTTTCAGGGCCTGGCGGAAGCTCGCAGCCCGTCACCGTCACTTGGCCTGTCTTGTCTGTCTCTGCCGCGCAGACTTTGAGATCTCGGCCTCTGGGAGTGGCCCAGAGTTGCTCCTCGCTTTCTGGGCGGGACCGGCTTCCAGAATTTTCACCTGCTGTGAGCGAGGCGCACAAACCGTCAGTCATATCGATTTTGACCGACCAGCGGTGGAGCCCTGTCGGAAGAGTCCATCTCGTGGGACTCAGCAATGATCGAATTGGCGCACCGAGAGTGGGGTCTTGTTGAGGACTGCCCAGAAAAGCGGTCTGTCTCGCCAGGGCAACTCAAGGGCCTAACGGGGAGGGCCTAGCCCACGAGAAATAATTGCATCCTTGGCTCTTTTCTCTCTTCCCTGGTCCACCCAAGGAGCAATGCCTATCCCCACGATGAGATGGACTCGATGTTTCCACTTGGACGACATGCCGATGATGTGATGTGCAGTGTCGGGCAGTGAAGTGCGTGGATTGCAGTGCAGTGCAGCGCAGGATGTGTGGCGTACATACGCAAAGACCGCAACAGCCATGGACGAACCTTTTCTCCTGCTCCTCTCTTGCCCTACCGGTGCGTCCCACCCACGCAAGTCGCGCAGTTGGGTGCAGCAGGTAAGGTATTCTCCCGGTCCCAGGTCGTCCCCTGCAGAAATCACGCAGCTTGCCTCGCTTGCTTGACTGTCTGGTCGGCCCGCGGATCACCGGACGGCGGGTCCTCCTCAAGGGCTGGACGAGCGGGTTTTGTAGCTGCGACGATGGAGCGGAGCGCAGGATCTGACAAGATGCCTCCTTGAATCTTCTGACCGCAACACGATGGGATGGTTCCGTGGCTGTTGATGGGTCCGATGTCGGGCAGCGGGGTCTGGAAAAACACTGGCGGTTTCCCTTTCGGGAGCTCCCGAGCGATGATGCACGTCTCCCTCTCTGCCGCTATCGTGAAATATACGAACGACCGACCAGCCGTTCTGGATAGAAACAGGGTTGTGATGGCGAGCAATAAAAGAGGGACTTGAGAAAAGCGACGAGACCGGGGGAGGCAATGCGCAAATACAAGTACTGGTCTGTATCCGTCAATCACAAGCCTCCGAGACGGATGTGCACTTGCTCCTGTCGGTGTCTCTCCCCTGGCCCTTGTTTCGCCCTGGGTGCGCCGCTCTGGTGGCATGGTGGCAGGCTGTCACTGGCCCTGGCCGCTGTGCGCCCACGAAAGCACGAGGAACCGACATGACCGACCCAGCCCATAGCAGCCAGCCCATAGCAGCCACCCTGCCAGCGGTGTTGGTGGTGGCGCCTGTGCGAGTGTGACTGTCTGTGACCAGGCGTGAACGGGTGAGCCACGGGACCACGGGAACGGGCAGCACCGACCCCCCATTTTCACATGCCTGTCTTGCTTTGGTCCCTGGGCTGGGACACCCGCCCACAAACGGTATGCGCGAATCCCACGTCGCCGTCGACACAGGCACCAGCCCTGTACCGCCGTGGACGACGACACGCGTGGACATGCCAATGACCACTCGTCGGCCCCGTGTGTCGCAAAGGAGGGGGGTGTGTGGGGAATGAGGGGAGTGTTGGAGTTGGTGTCGTGATCGAGCTGCGGCAGACATGCTGTGTTCCTGCCGCTGAAACGCTTGAGGGCTGCCCCTCACCCCTCACCAAGGAGCCCTGGTGACTGATTCCCCGCCCCTCCTATTGGCCAGCCCAGGTGGCCTGCTGGCCCCGCTAATAAAACGTCTCTCGGTTTGGACTTTCAGCTGCGAAGCCGAGGCAGGCCCGACATGGCTGATTTGCTGATCCCCAAGCCGTCGGACCTTGACGAAAGAAAGCCGGAGGTACTAAGCATTTGTGTGACGTCTCTTGCCTCGCCCAACTCGCTTCCAGCAAATCGAGCCGTGTTTAGTTCTGACATGCGTCGCTGTCCACCGCCTCTGTGTGCAGCCGCTCCGTTCCCTCCCTTACGGATACACGTCCTCTTTCAGCTCTAGCTCGCGGCAGACACAGGTATCGTGCCTCCCCCCATCCCGAAATAGATGGACCAACCATGGCGCGGCGGCCGAGGTGCGCCTCTTTCGTCATGGTGCACATGCATTGCCCGACCCAGTGCAGCAGAAAAGGGAGTCTTGAACCTGAGTGCATCTGCATCTGTCTTTGTGCATGTAAGCCGCAGAATAGATGTCCACGCTCGTAGCTGAATGTCCCATGTATTGCTCGTCAACCAAAAACTGATAGTATCTCGAGGCAGCCACTGCCCCGCCCAACCTCAGCAATAACCACCTCTGATCTCCTTTCTCAATATGGTGGGGTTTTAATCACACTACATATGCACACACTCACCGTTGAAAAAAATAATGGCCTCTAAGTGATGATTCTAATGTCGCTATTGGATGATGGGTACTGTATCTGCTCCGCCGGTTGCATTTGTCAATGCAAGCAAAGTCTCCATGGATGATGCGATCAATAACAGGCAGGCGGGAGGAGCAAAGCACAGGCAGTCCTCGAGTCACGTGCGGGTTGCTCGGTTCCTGCATGCGGGGGATGCACCTTTCACGTCTTTGTCCAACGCCCAATTCAGCCAAGCGCTCTGACTGGCCCGGCTGCTATCGTGTGTGCCTCGAACCCAGTTCTCCGTATCCGGCGTAGAGTCTGCTTTGAGAGAACAATCAATGCCACCGGCAAAGAGGACGGCGACGACCAGGCCAGGCGGATGATAAATAAAACTTCCCTCCAACCTTGGTGCACCACCTGGGCACTTCGAGGAGAGCATTGCCCGTGACAGCTTCCCCCGACCAACCCCCAGCTAACCTACACTTCCTACGACCATGTCCTGGCCACCCTCGACACCGACACCCATGGCTGAGGCGACCAAGCGCCCGGCATCCGTGCTTGACGAAGACGACTCGTCCTCGGACGTCGAGCAGCAGCCGGCCAAGCGGCATCGGGCCGCCTCCATCGATGCGGCGATTATGGGCGCTACGACCACCGCCAGTGATAATGACGCCAACGGTAGCAGCAGGTCAGGTCCCTGCCCTCAGCTTCAGCCCCAGCCCCAGCCCAGGCCGCTTCTGCCCCCACAGGCCGGCCAGGCCCAGCGCTCCACCCACTCGAGTGACACCGACATCCTTCCGGAGGACCGGCTCAGGGCAATGGACTCGGGAGAGCTCGTTGGCATAGTCTATAAGACGCACGCGGCACTCAAAGTTGTGTCCAATCAGTATCAAGACGTCGCGAGGCAGCTAAACGAGGTGAAAGCCTGCCTGTCCGTATTTCTTAGCGGCGGCGCGGCGGCGTTTGGGAATGCCAGTCTCGTAAGTACCGCCCTTGCTGGAAGGACCCTCCCGCCCCCACCCGTGTGTGCCTATGCTGACCTCGCCGCGGCGCAGTATATGCAAAGGCTGCTGACCTCGGCGCCAGCCCCGGCGCTAAATCTGTCAGAGCACCACGGGCTGCCTGGGCTCCCGCTCACGCGCCCGGCCGACCGCATGCAGCATTCCTTCGGCGCCCCGCACGCCCAGCCGCCGCCTCGCGCCATGTCCTTCTCGACCGCGTCGGCGACCGAGGTGGCAGCTGCCGCAGTCGCCGCGGTCGCCGCCGCCTCCTCGTCCGCCGCCGCATCGCCGACGCCGGGACCGGGGATGGAGTGGAGCACGCCCCCTCCGCCGCTGCCGGCCCAGCCCCCGGCCCAGGCCCCGGCCCCGGCCACCCACCAGCCCTTTAGGCGCATCAACAGCCCTGAGCGGACGGCGCTTAAGCTCGATTTCCCGCCCGAGCTGGGCGGCATGCCCCGGGTTATCGCCTACAGCAAGCTGGACACGGTGGGCGAGATCTGGCAGGAGTACAAGTACGGGCTCGACGGCGTCATGGCCATCGAGGCCATCGAGAAGAGCTGGGGCAGCCGCTGGCGGCCCGACGCAAAGGGCCGCACGTGGTTCTCGCGCCGCAAGATCATCTGGGACAAGATACGCGAGTACATGCACGACGGTCTCGACGAGGAGGCCGCCGTCGCCGCCGTCGAGGCCAAGCGCGCGACCCGGACCATCCACCACCTCCTCGCCGTCCTCAGCAAGGAGCGCAAGGAGACCAAGCGCGAGTGGAAGAAGAACGCCGCCGAGGCGACGGCCGAGAAGAGAAAGGCCCAGGAGACGGCCCCACGCGCCGCTCCCTCGGGCGCTTCTCCCCAGTGACCGGCTCCGCCCTACCCGAGCCGGACGTCCGTTTTGCATACGGCTGTCTATCAGCCCCCGAACATGACCATACACCACACCTTTAAGCTATGATTAATACTCTTCCCTTCTTTTCTCGCACATTCTAGTTGTTATTTTGTCTTCATCCTTCCCTTGTGTCTGCTGTCAGCCTTGTTGTTGACTGTTGACTTTCTCTGTTACGTTCCATGTGTCTCATCATGTCCACACCCGAGTACCAGGAAAGGGAAGGCTCGTTGTGCCAATGACTGGCTGGTAATGTGGTGACGTCTTCGTATTGATTTGGGTCGGCTTTGTCTTCCCTACTAGGGCGGCGCACTGTCTGTCGGCTTGCTGTTTGTTACTTGCCTACTTATGATACCCACTACTGTTTTGCTACCCGAGACTCCTTCTACTTTGTTTAATTAGGTAGATACGTCTATTTTGATGGTTGTTTGTAGAGAACTACCTGGTCTGATCTTGCGCCAGAGGCAAGATCCATCACCTAGCTACACGAACATCTCCAACGTAGTGACATATGTGGTCTGCGCAACATAGTTTATTGTCAAAGTGGCTTAACAGGCAACTCAGACGAGACTTCCTGTGTTCCTCTGTCTGGCACCTTATTTCCAGCCTTTACATTCTCATGTACATGTCCACAAAGTACGCGAGCAAGAAACCCAAGAGGAAGCTCAGGAACCTCGACGTGGTCCTCGACATGGTGAAGAGCCCCGCGGCGACGGGCCTCGGCGCCGCGCCCACGCGGATACCCAGCCCCACCAGCGGCGGCTGCAACACCCTCCGCTGGCCGTCGCCGCCCGCCAGGCGCCGGCTACGGGACGACGTGGGCAGGGCGGCGAGCCGCGGCGTCACCCACAGTGTGTGGCTGCTGCCGCCGTCGTCAGACGCCTCGGCGCTGCCGTCGATGCCCGAGTCCTCGGAGCCGCCCTCCAGAAGCGCGTGTATGGAGGCGGTGGGAGACAGGCAGCAAACGAACTGGGGGCGCCGGCTGGGGCCGGAGAGCATTGGCGGCAGCTTGTGCCGGACCGAGGAGGGCAAGGCCGCGGTGGAGGCGATCGCGTCCTGAAAGTCCCCGTCGTCATCGTCGTCGTCGTCGTCGTCGTCGCTGTCGGTGTTGTCTAGCTCGTCGGCCAGGCTCCGCCGGCACCTGGGCGACGACGAGGGCGAGCGGGGCGTCCACGGCGAGGGGGTGTCCACCCAGGGGGGGCGGCCCCAGGGGAAGTTCTGGGCGCCGTTGTCCGCCTCGCCCGACAGGGTGTAGGCGTCGCTAGAGCATTCGTTCTCGTCGTCCCCGTCGTAGCCGTCCCCGCCGTAGTCGTCGCCGCGCTGCCGATGGGCCACGCGGGGCAGGTAGTTGGGCAGCGGCGAGATGGTGACGGTCAGGTTCAGGAAGTTGCGGAACCAGGCTCCGGGGCCGGCTCGAGGAGAGAACAGCAATGACGGGTTTGGGGTCTCGGACCAGGATTCGTTGCCGGTCTCGTTGGGTCGCACTGGGGCCATTTTAGGATAGCAGCAGCTGTAAACTCTGTTGCTGGGTGTGCTGAGTGCAAGCTGCTGTCACTGGCGTGGTCTGTGTTGTCTCGTGGCGAGGACTGCTGCCTGTCTCGAGGATGCTGCTGCTGGGTGAATGTGATTATGGCGGCTGATCGATCCGTCTTCGAAGTGAACTTATATGCCGTCCGGCCACCACAGGGTCGCACAATAGATATCCCATCATTGTCAGAGTCTCCATGTCTGGCAAAGAACTGCTCTTTGTTCCAGTATTCTAGAGCACTGTCTGGTAAATGCCGTGTTAACAACAAAGAACAAGGTTTTCTCCAAATTGGGTCTCCTATGGACTTGTTGTCTTGGCCGATCTCCCTCCCGACAAAAGATCTTTAGGCTAGCAAGCCAATGCTAGGGGCTCGAGTTTCGCATGTCCTCGCCTTGATCTAAGCGCTTGGTCAAGCATTTGGAAAGCGCATGCCATGGCCCTCTGTGCGAGCACACTCGACTGCCAGAGCGTATTTGCATCGAGGTGGTACAAAGACTCGGGAATAACAGATAGGCATGTGCCGCAACCAGATCCAGTACCAGTCAAAATTTCTCCCTTGAGATATGCGACTAGGCACGTGCCAGCCCAAGTGACCAAACTTGCGCCGGCGCGGCGGCTGCAACCGTTCCGCCACTTTGGTCCAAAGAGTGTGCAACAAGGAACGGCCCCGGTGGTGGATGATGACATGGACAGAAATGACCCATCGATCGCCTCGGCCAGCACCGTGGCTGTGCAACCCCGCGCGGATCGACAGCCACAGCGTATTGGAGGACAAAGAAGACGGGGGGGCCTCACTTTTAAAGGAGAAACAGAACTCCGGAGTGAACGAAAAGAGAGGGACTAATCAACAACAGATACCCCAAACGCAACAGACAGTATATAACCGGCGAACAAACACACACGAGACATCATAGAACTTGCGCAGAATGAGCTCGGAGCGGAGAATGCCCAAGGAATGCAAGCAGCCGATCAAGATATCAAGTCGGAAAGCGTGGAAAGCAGCGCTGGCGACGCCGCGGCCCGTCCTGGTCCATCTCAACGCCGACACTACGTGGCTGATCCAGCTCCCCTACCCGCGCCGCGCCGAGCGGCCACCGCCGGCCGGCCGGTCGCGCTTCAATCTGCTGCTGGACCCTTGGCTGCAGGGGCCCCAATCCGACGTGGCATCCTGGTTCTCCACCCAATGGCACGTCACCGAGCCGAGCGTGGCCACGATTGCCGAGCTGAACGACGCCTTGCGGGAGCTCGAGGGGGAGGATGCGGCGGCGGTGGAGGACGAGGGCCAGGGCGACGCGGAAGGGGCGCCGCCGTGCTTCGTCGACGCCGTAGTTGTCTCCCACGAGTTTACAGACCACTGCCACCGCGCGACCCTGGAGGAACTACCGAGAGCGACGCCAGTCTTTGCGACGGACGAGGCGGCGAGGCTGATCGGCTCATGGGGCCATTTCGACACCGTCATCACCACACCGCCCTTCTCCAATACCTCCCCGACCTGGAAGGAAGCCCTCTTGGCCTGCCACCCGGTTCTGCCTCCCTGGCTGGGCGTCGGGAGAGTGGTGACGCCCGGCAACTCTCTGTACTACCACTCGGCCATCATGATTGTGTTCGACGCCTTCGACCCCGAGACACCATCCAACAAGGAGGCAGAGGCGATACTATACTCGCCCCACGGGATCGAGGCCGGCGACTTGGGATTTCTCCCGTCCGTGGGCCTCAAGACCCTGGCGCTGCTCCACGGGATGCACGACGTCCGGATCTGGATGACCAAGCAGCTGAATCTGGGGGCACACAACGGGCTCCGCGCAGTGCGCGCCAGCGGAGCGCGGTACTGGGTTGCGACACACGACGAGGTCAAGGTCGGTGTAGGGCTGATCAACTGGCTGCTGCAGAGAACCGCATATACACTCAAGGATGCTGTAGAGGCTGAGGAGGCGAGACTGAGAGACACGAATGGGGAGGAGGCCGTCGGTGACTACCAATTTATAGAGCTGGCGTCTGGTGATGCACTAATGCTCGTATAGCGGCTGGCTGGGCTTTAAGGTCGGGGCGTTCCGAGGACAAAAGCGTGCCTAGACTAGTTATTTAGGGTATTTTGAGTTCGCAACTGAGTTGATCAGGGCACAGGCCAGATGCCTCCATGGCGGAGGGGTCAAGAATGTAGCGGCTGCACACGGACGGCACAGATGATACAGTCGCAAGACCAGCTCAGGTGAAGCGCCCGCGTTCAGCAATTCCGCCCATGGCCCATTTCCACATAGGAAGAGACCCAGACAGACAGGGCGGTTCGGCCCACAAGATAGGGTTAGGCGAGAAACGATATATGGAGAGTACCTGGTCATGTCACCTCACGCCACCGCACCTATCCATGTGTAAATGAGAAAATAGGGGCTTCCACTGAGTGCTGTCCGGTGCAAGTCAGCGATCCCCTTGGAGAGTTGGCGACGACGTCTGCTCTTGCGTCCTGCTTATGCCTGTGTGCAGCTCCCAGTCGCGACGCTGGCATTAGTCATCGGTTGTCGGAGATGGTGGGGAAGAGTGAGCCTGCAGCTGTCATACGACATCCATGCGTCTCCTCATGATGTTGGCTGTCTAGCCCCGCGGGGTCTGTCGCGAACACAAAGACAGACTGCAGGGCCCAGGTCTGCGCAGCCGCGATGGCGAAAGAGAGGAGCGTGGACACGAGCCGTAGCAAGCGAACCGTAGTGGAAGCCGCCAAGACGCCGTGCGAGGCGCACCACCGCGTGCGTCACAGACACAGACGCCATGGACGGCCAGATGCGGTTCCTGGTCTGTGCACAGCGATCCAGGGAGGCGGGATAGAGTGTGCAATCTCCGTACCGCAGCAGCCGGCGTGATATGTGGAAGTACATGGATGCCCCCTGCGCCTGGAGTTTGCCGGTGGCCCGCTAAAAAAAAAAAACGACAAACGTCGACCTGGACCGGGGTCTTGGCTGGCTGAAGCATTTTTTCTGCGGGGATCAGAGTCCAAGGCCAAAAAAAATTGTCATCATCGCCAGAGCCGCGCCCCGATTTTGTAGAACCGCTCGACCAAAGTGACTTCCTGGCAGCACTAGACTCAAGCTGTGCATCGCCAACCCCAACCGTGCCTCACTCCGGGAAACGGTCTGCCAGGGAAGCTCTACGTCGCTTGCTCATCCATCTCAAAGTGCTGCTGCCGTTGGGCTCTGCTGTCAGCCAGACCCGGCCCTCCCTGCCAGCTCTTGCCCTCCCCCCCGTCCGCCCTGCCCTGCTCCGTCAGTCGAGGCTGGTCCTGCCCTGGGTTGCCCAGCATGGCGCCTTCCACGACTGGCAGCTCCGGTGTCGCTGCGACTGCTGGCAACGGAACCAACAGCCCGCCCGCTCAGCGCCGCCCGCCCGTCAACGTCAAGGGCACCTCCACACACATTCACAAAAAACCTACCGTTGTGCCAGTCCTTCCCCTTCCTCTAACCAAGCCGCGCCACCGCACCGCGCCCACCGCATTGCCCTCTCCATCTCACACTCCTGCATCTCCCACTGCTGTTGAACGTGCCACAAAGTCGCCGACGTCAGCCTCGCGTGTCCGTTCCCCCACCTCGCCTCTGGCCGTCGAGGTCGACCTGCCCAACCTCGGCGCCCTCGCCATCGCGCCCAAGACCAACGGTGCCGACGTGACCTCTCCTAAGCAAGACGGCGCCCGCAACGGTAACGGACATCAACACAAACAACTGTCGGCCGTAGACGCCACCGTGGGTGTGGAGCTCGCCCCAGCCTCGACCCAGCAACAGCAGCTCGCTCCTGCAGGCACGGCTCAAGGTATGTTGACCAGCACCCCGCACCTTCCCTCACTTCCCGTCGCCTTCACGTTCTCATTAGACCTTCCAGGCCCACCCACCACAACAACAACCACCCGCGAGCCTCTCGCAACCTATCGCTCGACAAACGCAATCCCTCCCCCATCCATAACCTCCTCAGCTGCACCCGACAGCTACGCCCTGCCCCATCCTCCTCGAGGCAAGGAGAATATCCCGCCAACGGCGAACGGATTCACAATGACGCAGCCTCCGGCTTTCGAGGCGCCGCGCATTCCCATGCACCATCCTCAGCTGAGCCTGAGCGACAGCAGCATGTTCGGAGCGCACTCAGACTCCAACAACACATCGCCCGTTCCGCCCGAGACGGGCGGATATGAGCGACCGGCGCATCTGAACATGCCGCCCTTGCCGCCGCCTCCTCCCAGTGGCTACCCTCCCAGCGGCTACCCTCAATTCCAGCCCCATCATGCCTGCCAGCCCATTCCAGGCATTCCTTACTACCCTGCTGTCCAGGGCCCTCCTGGCCAGGGCTATGTGCTTGCCCCCAGAACACCTCAGAGCTTCCATGGATCGCAGGGGTCTAACCCGCCTGATGTCCCGGTCGGCTTTGAGGAGAACGGCTACCAACATCGCTCTCAGCCGCCGATGGCGGCCAACGGCCATCCTTCTCAGCAGCCCGTGGCGGCCAACGACCACCACTCTCAGCCGCCCGTGACGGCCAACGGTCATCTCGCCCAGCATCAGCAGCCGGTAGCGGCCAATGATCATATTGCTCAGCACCAGCAGCCGATGGCGACCGGTGACCACCTTCCTCAACAGCCGATGGCAACAAAAGGCCATCTCCCTCAACAGCCCATCCCGGCCAATGGCCATCTCCCCCAGCCGCCAATGACGGCCAATGGCGCCGGTGTTCATGCTGAGGTTCACAATGCCTTCCCGCCCGCCCCCATGTCGGCGAGGCAGCATGGTTTCGTGGATTCGCGAAGCCGCGAGATATCCCAGATGCATCAGAGGGACGCATACGAATACCTTGAGCTCAACTTCAACAACCGTGAGACAGCCGATGTTCAGGTTGTAGTCACGTTCCGTGGTGGCCCAGAAGGCCGCCCGTGGCGCCGCCCCGTACTGCTATACGGCCATCGTCTTATCCTGGGCTTCAGTCCCTCGCTGAGGGCTCATCTCCAGGGCAGCCCTCACATGGGCGGCACCCTGGAACTGGCTTCGGACGACCCGTATCAGCGCACCGAGGTCCTCTGGAATTGCCTCGCCAGCATCTACGGTCGGCCTCTTCCCGAGATCCCAGAGTCCGATGCCTTCATGGCTGCCGCATACGTCGCTGCCGGCCACTTCCTTCAGCTAGGAGCCATTTCCATGAAGGGCGCGGATGATCTCATCCGTCTCGTCGACAGCTGGACCCAACTCGAGATGGCCTGCGCCGTCGCTCTCGATGGTGCCATTCATCTCTCCCCCGGCCCGCTCCCCCCGTCTCAATTAACCTCGGATATCATTCTCCGCTACGGCCACGCCTCAGAGATGCTTCTCGCCGCCATCGCCGGGTTCGTTATCGACATGTTCCCTCACAACTACGTCGTTGACTCCAAGTACCCGCTGCCCCGCTACACTCGGATCCCGGCCTACCCGGATGCCTACAGGCGCGACAGGGAGCTCATGGCAGCCTCGAGTGCCGACGCAGCAACTACGGCTCCAGTCCGCAACGAGAGCCTTCGGTACTCGAACCCACTGCTGAGCCAGATTAAGTTCGGCGACGTCCCGTTGCCCAACGATGGTCCCGCCGATGCTCCTGAGACCCAGCGTCCTCAACCCAAGAAAAAGGCCACTCTGGCGGACCGTCTGGCGGCCTGCGAGACCGACGCAAACCGACTGCTGACGTCAATCCTGGCCAATATGCCTTTCTGTGTCCTCAAGGACATCCTCGAGAGCAACGGTCTCGGCAAGGGACCCGGCCCATCTGCTACGTCCTGGCCCACGATGCAGACCCGTTACAAGATCATGTCGCAGATTATCGCCGAGCGTGAGAGTCGACGGATCGACGCCGCCAAGGCCGTCATGGCTAGTGCTGCTGCGGATCCGTCGGTCAGGGACAGACTTTCTGGTACTCGCCCACCTCAGAACGGCCCCGTCGACGGATGGGAAATCGTGGGCTGGAAAGAGGAGATTGTCGACGTGGACGAAGCCCCCAAGCTTGTCCGGACTTGGGTGCCCCTCAGTTCTTCGATCTGATTCGTCTTCCCTGCTTGTTGTTTCGACGCTAGCGGTACAAAGCTCGGCACCAGAAGCCAGCTTTCAACCACGCTTGCACGTTTTCACGATTCAACGATATCATGGCATGGGCTTATTGTTTCTGTTCCGTCTTTGTTGGTGTCTTTTCTCGATTCTCACCAATCACCCCCACTTCCCACCACTTCCCACCGTTTGACCCCACTTGCACCCCTTCCACCCCTCCCTACCAATTCCCCTTGCCTCGTTTAAAGGCACCGCGTTCTTGTCCCTGTCGTTTTTTCCCCGATACTCTTGTCAAAGGTATCTTTCATGTTATGAGTTGTCCAGCATTGCGTTAGGTGTTAGATTCCGGAGATTTCAAGGTTGCACAAAAATTCACAAAAAAAAAAAAAAAGGGCAAGGCGCTCGAATGCGGTGGTGTCGGCCCTCGAGGCGAGCCACAAATACTGTTTGTATTTTCCTCTTTCTCTGGTTGCGATGGATTTTCATAGAGTAACCAGCCGGCGGTGTTATCAGCAGGCAACATGCCGCTGATAGGTCTTGGAACGGTTGTTGTCTTGCCTTTACGACTCGACTGATACCTAGTACAGCCATCCCGCCGAGCTCTCTCATAGGAATTCTCTCATATTGGTCTTGGGCATGGCATGGGTCTCGGTACCTTTCTCGTTTTCGTATTTGGAGGCACAAGGAGGCAAGGCGGGTTTTGTTCTTCTTGGGTGGGCATTGGCAACGCCCGGCACCGCAAGAAGGGCATTGCTCGTCTTCTTCCTTCGGAGTTGGCGGGGGGTCGTCATTTCTGGTCTTTGGGAACGAGGGACTAAAAGGGGGTTGTGTACCTACCTGGATTGGTTGGTAGAGGCGCGATGCTTTAAAAACATTAAATGAAATCAATGGCCAACCCCAATCTGGTGATGAAACTGTAGCTTCCATTTCGCTGTTGGAACGGTGACTGCCGCGGCTCTATAATTATTGGTAGGTATGGTTTACATGTAAAAACGGACAGCGCGGGCGGGAGCGATTGGGAATGGTGGTACCAATGGGATAATAGGTAGGGCGAAATTTTTACAAACCAGTGTTAATTTGGAATTAATATTATCTTTTGGTAAAGCTATTGCTTCCTGGCGTGTCGCAGCCATCGGACGCTGGGCAACACCAGGGAGCGCCAGTAAATACGAAAATGCTATTTGGGAACCGCGAAAAGCTTTTTGGGAGACAGTTCTTTCTAAACATTGGCCCGCTGGTACCTCAATCAGCGTTTTACTTTTCAGGAAGGTCGGCGCATTGCCACACCCCGCTATTCATTCCTCCTGTCCGCTCCCTCATTGGAATTCTCCGCAACGGGGAGACCAGGCGAGCCAGCGAGGAGCTTGGGGTGGGATTCCATCATGCAGAGCCCATCCAGAAGCGGGACTCTGGGGGTCGTTTAATCTTGTCTTGTTCAGGCACGCGGCCGTGGTGCTTGTGTGCATGAACGGGCTTCATATTGGGTGCCTGTCTAATTCCCCGCCGGCAGCTGAGCCAAGACTGGGGTGTGCCACCAGACCCTGGCATGTAGGGAGCGTGAAATGCACCTCGGCTGGCCTTCGCACGTGCCAAAAGACCAAGCCCACCCCGTCCGTCATCGCCCAAGCTCAGGCAGGCAAAACAAGCCGAGCCAGGCTGGCTCCGCATCACACCAACGAGAGTGCCGGTTGGAGCAGAGTAATCAAGATCACGGGCACCTCCATTTCTCTCTTCCCTCATCACAAACCAACGTTATCCACCGACCTAATTGCCCGCACAACTGGATTCCTTCATGTCCTGGTGGACAGTACAGCTCTAATCAACTCGTCCCTTTCGTGTCACGGAGCAGCTGTCGATACACGAACCTTCTCCTCCAGTCATCATCCGATCGAATACGCGCGGACCGGACAAGCCATTATTCTCAAGCACCTCGGCTAAGCACTTACCACAACTCAAAGAACCGACCGACTCGACCCGACTCGACTTGATCTCTATCCAACCCCTAAGCCGACGGCCAAACAAATCGTCGGACGGGTCCTTGTGACGTGTCCGAAGTCGCCCATCCGGCCTCCGACGCTTGCACAAGACAGTCAAAAAAAAAAAAAAGGGAATCACGATGGCGTCGTCGGCGGGCGGCGGGCCCCCGGCAGCGTCGCGGGCGGTTAGCGACCCGATCCTACGCAACGCGCTGCGCTACACCGTCTCGGCCCGCGAGTACGCCACGCTGCACAAGTACATATTGTCGCGCTCGCGCGTCCTCAAGAGGAACGCGCCGAGCGTCGAGACGGTCGCGCGCATCGTCAACGGCGACGCGGGGGCGAGGCCGGCTGTTAGCTCCACGCCCGGCGACGGGTCGGGCGGCGGGGCGACGGCGACGGGCCTGGAGCCGGCCTCGGGCGGCGGCAGGGCAGGGAGGGGCAAGGGGAAGAAGCAGCAGCAGCAGCAGCAGGACGCGGCGGCGACGCCCCCGCCCGTCAACGACTACAACGCGCGCGCGGTGCGGCACTCCATGCGCGTTTTTATCGCCACAAGCATCGCGATGAAGACGTGGTCTATCGTGTTGAAAAGGATAATGGGCGCCAAGAAAGAGTACGTTTTCTTTTTCTGGTTGCTGAAGACCCATCTCAGGGGCTGGCCGGGCTTCAACGCCGGAGTGCTGACATTCCCCGTTGTGTTGTGATCTCCAGCCAAGCAGCAGCGGCGGCGGCAGCGGCAGCCTCCAAGAAGGAGCCCCTCTACAAGTCGCCGACCTTCCGGCTCTCGCTCTCGCTCAGCTCCATCCTGCTGCTGTACAGGCTGTTGTTCCGCTTCTTCACGCGGCTGCGGCTGCACCTGCTCGACCCGTCGGCCGAGCCGTTCCGGCGCCGCAACCCGCGGACGGCGGGGACGCTGACGTCGCCCTACGCGCCGGCCGTGGGCGCGTCGCTGGCGGGGCTGGCGCTGGGCATCTACCCGGCGCAGCAGCTGCGCGTGTCGGTCGCCATCTACGCGCTCTTCCGCGCGCTCGAGTTCGGCTGGAACGCGGCCGAGGAGAACGGCATGGTCTGGGGCTGGGACAAGGGCGGGCGCGTGCGGCGCGAGCGGCCGTGGTGGTGGGGCAGCTGGATGCTGCAGCCCCTGGCCTTTGGCCAGCTGCTGCACGCCTGCGTCCTGGACCGCGACTGCTTCCCGAGCCAGTACGGCGACATGATCTTCAAGTGGTCCGGCACCTACCTCCAGCAGCGCCCGCCCAAGTACCCGCGCAGCCTGCCGTGGCCGGGGACCTACGACATTGTGGACAGCCTGGCGACCATGGCGAAGCTCAACTGGCCGTAAGTTCTGGATATCTGATTTCCGATTTTCACTTTGTCTGGGATCATGGCTGCAGAGAAAACAGCCACGTTTGCTAACACCACCAACCACAACAGACCCTTCGTCTCGCCCACGCTCTTCCCGGACAAGACCAACACGCTGCCGCCGCAGCTGTCGGCCATCGCGCCCCTCTCAAACAGGGCGCACCCGCTGCTGACGTCGCTGTCCTGCGCGACGCTGCACCCGCACGACCCGTCGTGCGCGCGCACCTACCTCACCTTCTGGCTGCGGTCGTTCCCGGCGGCGGCGCGCTTCTTCCTGGCGGCGTACGCGCTCATGGCGCTCCCGCGGTTCCGGCTGCTCTACCACGCGCCGGCGTCGGTGCTCCGGCGACTGCTGGCGTCGGCGCTGCGCACGGCCACGTTCGCGACGGGCGCCGTCTCGACGGCGTGGGCCTCCATCTGCCTGCTGCAGGCGTGGCTGCCGCGCGGCGCGCTCGCCACGCAGCGCTTCTTCCTCGGCGGCATGGCGGCCGGCCTCTGGGCCTGGGCCGAGCGCAGCAGGGGGCGGGCCGTGTTCCTCTACAGCGCGCGCCAGAGCGTCGACTCGCTCTGGAAGGTGGGCGTCAAGCGCCGCTGGTGGCGCGCCATGGCCGCCGGCGACGTCTGGGTCTTTGTCCTGGCCGTCATGCTCACGGGCGTCGTGTACGAGCGCGACGCCGCCGCCGGCATCCCCGACCCGACCTGGCGCCGCGGCGTCAGCTGGGTCCGGGGCGAGGGCTGGCGGGACTGGGCCATGGAGGCGGACGAGGAGGAGGACGACGAGGACGAGCAGGGAGGGGAGGGCGAGGAGGAGGGGGAGGCGGAGAGGATGGAGGTCGGAGTCGACGAGGGCTCGGGCGTGCTGCTGAGGAAGGAGGAGTGATTGGCTCTGTGTCTCTTAATGGTTATGCCTGGTCTGTGCGTGTCGAGAGCTGGAGAGCTTTGGCTTTGTGTATGAATCAATGTGTTGATGATTGCTCTCAGAGTGAGAGTGGAAGCTACCCGCACACGGCCTTACGAGGAAAGTTGTGATACGGTTTGGCACGGCCTCGGCACACTTATAAGCCACGGAAGAGAGAGGAGGCTGCGCAGATAATCACAAGCACCAAGATTCACTTCGAGGGGAGCAAGCGAACAGGCGTGAACAGGCCAGCTTAGATATTGGTATCTGCGTACTTTTGCATCAGGCGACAAGTACATCGCTCTCTGTCTCTTTGTAAAGACGGGAAACTGCTGCACTGTCCCCCAACAGTCGGAACTCCTGAGCTCTCGAGAAGGGATGGACGCCCCCATCCTCACTCCTCCCCTCCCTCCTCAGCCGCCGCCGCCATCGTCTCTTCAGTCGGCTTTGCTGGCGAAGACGACGGGGCGAGGTTTGTGCCGCACAATGGCGTCCTCCGTACTTGGAGGTGCGGATATTCCATGGCTGACGGGATTTCGTCTAGGCCCAAAAGGGCTTGAGGTGAACGCGCCATCCGTTCAACCATGCATCCTATCAGAACTGCGCAGAGTGGAGCAAAGGTGAAACAGAACATTGCATGCGCAACTCGCTCTAGTCCCCTTTGGGCCTAGACCTCTCCTCGTCTTTTTGGGATAATACAGTATGCGGTGCTACAAAATGGGTCGCCGTAAGCAGAAAAGACGCCTCCCACGTCGGTTATCGTCTTTCGTTTCCATCCGCGGCATATTTAAAAAGGACGAGCTCCGGTAACCCAAAACGACAGGTACAGGACAGCAAAGGCAACAAACAAGGCAGATTAACGCGATAATGGCTCGAAGTACGTCAAGCTTTGGCTCTACGCACAAAGGTCTTGGCCCACGACGAGCCACCACTGAATACAGTCCTGTCAGGGATATTCAAGCAAGCGAGACTGTACAATGGGGTGTGTATTGGGGATCCCCCGCGCTCATGGCGTTTCTGCTCATAGCCGGCGTCGCCTTTGCTTTGGGCCACCACTTCCACTACAAATCCCTCAACAATACTCTCGTCCCTTCGCAGGAAAGCCAGCAGTGGGCCATCCGGATAGGGACCGGCCTTGCTTTTCTCTCCAAAGCGAGCCTGGCCGCCTCCGTCGGCGTTGCTTATACGCAACGCCTTTGGGTATCGGTCAAGAAGCGCAGCATGAGCCTTCAAAACCTGGACAAGGCATTTTCCCTGACCACAGACCCCTTTTCGTTTTTGAGCGCTTTCTTGATTGCCCGTACAAAGATGCTGTATCTTTTGGCGGCCGCAGTTTGGTGCATCCCGCTGGTCGCAACCATCACGCCTGCCACGTTATCCATACGACCAGGCATCGTCTCCCGCACCGCCTCGGTCAACGTACCGCGGCCTGATTTCGACAACTCTAAACCTTGGGCCAATTTCGAAGGCGTTGGAAGACCGCAGAGCCCATCGGCGGTCCTTAATCGTCTGGTCGCCGCGACAGCCTCGTCCGTCAGCGTGTTGCCGTTTCCGGCACCGTTCCCTAACGCCTCGTACACGCTCGACTTCTTCGCGCCCGCCATTAAATGCGAGACCCTGGCCGAATCCGTCGCCGCCAACGCCTCGCTACAGGGTTTATGGGATGAGCACATCTCGTTCGCCAGCAAATTTTACACGCTATTGGTCTCCAACACCACGAAGCGGAAGCTCACCAACCATCTGTTCATCAACGTGGGCGGCCCCAGTGGTGCGAATTACTCGTGCCACCTATACAACGCCTCTTACACCGTCGACTTTGCTTTCCGCAACGGCGTACAGACGAGCTCGACCGTCCGCAACCTTGCGTATCCCTCCCCAAACCTCCCGCTGCTCGAGATCAAGCGCGGCCAGATTTTCAGCGACTACAAGCCCGGCGAGGTCGCCTACGCTTACCTTTTCGACGCTCTGGTCGACCGGTTTCTGGTGGCCAACATGTACCTCGGCGCCTCGGGCACGCTAAACGGCGGATCCGACACATCGTTTTTCCTGACCGGCATCTCGTCCTGCCCGGACCTGGCCAACGGCACGTCGGCGGGCAAGGAGTTGGGCCTCCAAAAGTACGCAGCAGGCGCCTGGGCCTGCGGCGCGGGGTCGGTCCCCCGCGCGGTGGAGGAGCTGTCGCGGAACGTGTCGCTGAGCCTGATGAGCAGCGAGTTTTTCAGCAGCAGCAGCAGCAGCAGCAGCAGCGGGGTGCGCGTGGACGAGACGGCAAACTACTACGCCTACGACGAGGCGGGCCTGCTGCGCGCGTACGGGGTCGCCGTGGCGGCCGCGTTGGCGTGCGTCTGCGTGGGCGCGCACGCGTACGTCGCCAATGGGTACAGCGCCAGCTCGTCCTTCTCCAGCGTGCTGTTGACGACGCGCAACGCGGACCTGGACAGGCTGGCTGTGGGGCAGTGTCTGGGCTCCCAGAGGGCACCGGCCGAGCTGCGCCGGACGGTGCTGCGGTTCGGGGTCGTTAGGTTGCCTGGTGGTAGTGCTGCCGGCGGCGGCGAGCACGGGGTTGCGCACGCAACGTTTGGGCTGCGGGGGACGGTCGAGCCGTTGGTGAAAGGGCAGGCCTGTTTGTGAGTGCGTGCCTTCTGTCTCTCTCTCTCTCGCACGCTGGATAGAACTCTAATAAAAAAAAAGAGTTTGTCGACGTTGTCGTTGTCTTTCATGTAGTTACCTGATCTTGAGTCACGGTGGTAGCGAGGAGCTTTGCTGAGGTGACCTGGGACACACATTCATAGGTAGGTAGCCAATCGTTTCCACGTTGAAGCACCGCACGTCGTGTTCCGGCGCAAAAACGCCAGGTGCCCCTAACTACACTATAGTACTCTACTATTCCAGAATCATGTCCTTTGTGCGCCGGCGGTGGCGGTAACCAGTTCTCGATCGTCAACGGAAGCCTCTGCTAGGCGCTTGGCGCGATATCCGCGCACGTCTAATCGTAGGGATCCTGCGACCTGCGGCCTCTCGGCCCGCGCGGGGTTTCAGTCGGGCCAGCCCGGGCGGCGAGCCCGACCGGCGTGGGAGGCTCCTGGGCCCTCTTGACCTTGGCAGCGCATCGGCTGACGGAGCACTGGAGGGCAGAGCCGCCGCGGGTTTCGAGATGTTGGCGGGCCGCCGCGGGGTTGGCGCTGGCGTGCTGGGCCAGGAAGACGGCGACGAGGGTGGCGCTGGAGAGCTTCATGGTGAGGTTTTTGCTATGCTGCTGTAACGGGATGGGTTTTGTAGGGTTCGGTCGTGTAAGTAGAAAGTATGGGAGATGATTGTTGGAGGAATAGAAGCGAGAGATGGCCGACCAGCTGGCACCCGGGACTGTCTCTATGTTGGGCGTATGTGTGTGTATATGTGTGGGAGGAGGAAAAGAAAAATCGGCAGACTGCTAATCTTGTGACCGCCGTATTTATGGTCGTTGGGCTGGCAAGCACTGGAAGATCAAAGACGGCTGGACGGCATGGATGAGGCTATCAACAGCCGGAGGCGCCCGCGCAGGGGCCGCTAGTTCTGTCAAACGTGCTTTATTTCCCGGGCAGACCGGGGCCGGAGTCCTTGTTGCTTGACCCTGGCACTGACACTGACAGTGACAGCATAGGCTTGCTGTGCTGTGTCGTGCTTTGAAAGCTGGAGTTTCCACATTGGGCAATACAACGCCGTTGCTTCAGTCATGCAACCTTGTGCTGCCATCGTCCCGAAAGACGTCACAACCCGGCCATCTGCCAGATGCAACCGTCTCCCCAACTTCGCCACTCCCATCCACGGCCGGCCAACCCATGCCACCCAAAAGACGCCTACACCACCCCCGCCTCGCCATCCCCCGACCGCCCGCCGCCAGCAGCGCCAACGACCCCGACCCGGCCGGCCGTCCAGGCGCGCAGGCGCTTGCCGCAGAAGAAGAGGGCGGGGATGCCGAGGGCGATAACGAGCAGGGCCTCGCCGTACATGGCAAAGGTGGCCAGCGGGCCGGCCGCCTGCACCCACTCGACGGCCCGGCTGGCGAGGAAGAAGGCGACGGTGATGCGCATGCTGCCGACGTTGACGAGCACCGGGCCCGCCCACACGGGGTAGCTCTCGACCACGAGCACGTTGCCGAGCGTCAGCACCGTCAGGTAGGCGAAGATGACGAGGAAACTGGCCAGCAGCAGCACGGCCCAGTGCATGCGCTGCTGCGCCGCCGCCCCGAACAGGAAGGCGCCCGCGATGCCGAGCGCGAAGGGGAGGATGAAGTTGGGCAGGTTGTCTTCTGCCTCGCGGGCCATGGCGTTGTTGTTCTTGTTGCTGTTGCTGTTGCTGTTGTTGGCGTCGCCGTCTACTTTGCCGCCCCTGCTGCGTCGCCGCGTGACCGACATGGACACGCGGTCCGCCACGGGGCCGGCAAAGACGTAGACGAAGAGCGCGGCCGCCACGAACGGCAGCACGCCCAGGCCCGTCAGCTCGAAGCGCCAGCCCTGGGCTAGTAGCGTAAAGGACAGCACCTGGGTCGCGGCCTGCGTGGCCACCAGCACAGCACGACGGGCAGGAAAGTCGTGCGCAGCGTGTCGAGCATCGAGACGCCGGCCTCGCGCCAGTCGAAGCCGCAGTTGAAGACGCCCACGTCGTCCCACGCGCTCCGCGCCCGGAACCGCGCCGTGTCGAGCTGCGGCCTGTCCTCGTCTGGGGCGATGTCGTAGACGTTGTGTCCCACTGTTGGGCGTTTTTTGTTGGGGAATGTCAGCCACCTGTCCTTGTTTCTTCTCCCACTCTCACTTACACACACCAAACACTAGCACACCAAAGATCGGAAGCACTGGGCTCGAGTCGGACAAAGAACCTATTCAGCTCCTCCTTGGACCGCGCCCACCTGGCCTCGGGCAGGAACAGCAGCAGCAGCGCCCAGGCCACGGCGCCGAAGCCCGTCGTGACCCGATAGATCCATCGCCAACTGTGGTTGGCGGCGATGTAGGGCGACGCGATGCCGAGGGCGATGATGATGACGCCCTGGGAGCTCACGATGGTCGACATCCACGTGTTGCGCTCGTGCAGGAAGAACATGTCCTGCAGCACGAGCGGGATGAGCGCCTCGACGGCGCCCGCGCCCAGCCCCTGCACCGCGCGCGCGGCCAGATGCGAGCCCAGCGACGGGCTGAGCGCGGCCTAGGTCCGGGGCTGCCCGGCGGCGCGTGGTTGGCCGGGTGCGCAAAGTCGACGGCCCGGATCGACCGCGGGTCCACGCCGGCGTACTCGAGGATGAAGATGGGGATCAAACCGCCGATCACCACCTCGGCGCTGAGGGCGAGAGCGCCGACAGTTTTTTCCCCAAGGGCCTGTTGGTTGGGACGTGGTGGATTTGACATGTGTATCGAGAGGCGCAGGTCAGACTCACAGAAGCACAGTACCGAGACGGCGAACCGCTTGCGCCAGACGGGGAGGTTCAGAGGATCTGTGTCACCGCCTCCCGGTTAGCCAGCCCTCGCGGCTCTAGCACTTTGGCGTGAGGGTATCGTTTCCATGCACCTCTTGGATCTGGTGTCGGCATCTGCCCAGGGAGCTGTGTTAGTCGACGGAGGAAATGCACAAACTCCCCTCATAGCCATAGTCAGGGGACCAGGTGCCAAGCCGCTTTCTTCTCACCGGTATCAGACGTATCCTTCCATCCTCTCTGTACAGCTGGGTCGTGCCAACTACGCGAGTAGCATCCTCGTCTACAGCCGCCGCCTCTCTGCGGTAGACTTGATCTTTCTCCTTTGGGTGCACTGTCAAGTCGGTCATTGTTGCCAGGCTACCGGCCAGGATAAATGCCTGGGCGGACAGAGAGAGTGTGCGCGCGTGATTTTAAACTGCAATCGTCTGTCCGAACTTGGTGCGCGCGGGAATGCGGATGGGAGTCAAGGGACTGCGGGACGACCGATGGCCTGATATATATGTGTGCGTGTGTGCTCGGAGCTCGTTGGGCCAGTGACTTCACCCCTGGGGAGGACGAGGCGAGGCCACGACCAACTTTCAAGCAGCAGGGCCTGGACGAGCCCGTTTCCTGATGACGGGCTGCACGGACTCCCCTCCGTAGCCGACCCGATGACAACAAGGTTTCCAAACGCTTATACGCTCACCTAGCGTAAGTGCCTGGGTCGATCCGATCTGACAGCTGCAGGTGGGCTTCGGCCGTTGTAGGTGTGGGCGCCGATGAGCTATCCCGCATCTCCCTCTCTCCCTCACCTTCCTCCATCCCCATACCCCTCCTCCTTCCCTAGACCAAGGGGCACTAAATGGCCCCCGTCATCGGCTCTAGCTGCACTGAAGACCATGCGCTCACGTCCGTGCAAAAAAAAAGGGAGGATCCGAGACAGCAAACCATGATCCTGCATGGCTTACCCAGGACGGACGTGGGACAGGGGCCTGACCTGAGCCGATCCAAGACCCCATGTGCCGACTGGGCCGACTAGGGGCGGCCGCTCCCTGCCAGCACATACACACGCCTGCTGGCTGGCTGGCCGAAAGCATAAGGGTATGCCGGATTTTGACTCTAGCCGCTGGTAACAACAAGAAGCCGCGGCAGCGCAGTCGAAAAGCAACCACCTTCACGGCCGCTCAGCGGGATGGCGATGATTACCAAAACAAACATGGGATGCGGGGGTGGGACAAGCCCTCAAAGGCGACCAAGTCACCAAGTCTTGGGCTTCTGAGCTCTTACTGGCGGTCGCAGCACTAATGCTGTCGTTGGCATGGGTTCAGGGACAGCTATGGGATAGAAAGTGTGTGGAAAGGCTATGGGCATGTATATTACTGATACCAACGGCGCGTTGAATGTAGGGAACGGTGGGGGACGTTGGAAGCATCACATGTTCATCCGCAAGTGACGGATGCACAGAGGAGCACGCCCCCTATGTCGTCTGTGCCTCGGCCTTCTATCTGCTTGGACACTGGACGGCTGCCAATTGTGCCCAGAAACCATGCACATTGAGGCCAAGTCACACCGAGACGGGCAGCGCGCGAGGCGGGGTGCTTTGGGAGCGGTGAAAAAACACGCAGATTTAGGGAACATTACGCATGCAGAAGGATCACTTGTTGCCTTGGCGGACTATATGCCATTGATTCCTCAAATGTGTTCTCCTTTGATCTTGCCACTCTGAACGCCCTGCGACCCAATACAGAAGAGAGTAAAACCAACCGAGATGCGGTGTTGCGAAGAAACATGAAACCCGAAAATATGCGTGGGAAAATCGACAAGATCCGGCGAGACGCCACACAAAAGGTTGATAGGGTAAGACAAATGGAAGAAGACTGAAAGGATGGTGCGAGGCCCGGATCCGGGGTTATGCTTTCCCAGACGTCGGTGGCGTTCGCCATCAACGCCTTTGAAAAGCACTCGCAGGGACCAGAACAATAGGCTCAATGGCACGCAAAAGATGCCCAGACCCCTCCTGCTCACTTGGTGCCTGAACCAAGAAGCCGGGCGATGAGAACGTAGACGAAGACAAAGACAAGTGCGAGGACGAACTTGTTGTGGTGCCACAGCCAGCCCTGGCCGGCCTCCCTCCGTTGGACCATGGCGTCGACGACAGCCTGGGTCTGGTGGCCGCTAGCGCCAGCGGCGATGCCGAGCTGAGGACCACAAGTGGGGGCGGCCGAAGCCTTTTGGCCGGTGGCAGGGTCGACATCGTTCTTACGGATCCACTCCCAGTTCTCGGTGTCGACCTCGGGCCACTCGGATCGGAACTTGAAGCCGCCATCGCCGGCCCTGACGTTGTTCTTCTGGCCCGGGCCTGAGGAGCGGCCGTGCGTACCGCCACCGGTCGAGTTCCACCAGCGTGAACGCGAGGCGTGGAACTTGCGCTCTGCATCCGTGGCCGAGACGGAGCCCGCAGTCATCTCCTCCGACGTCATGAAGGAGAGGAGGCCGATGAGGATGGTCGAGACCTCCCAGGCCGGGTTGAAGGTGCGCGGGTGGAAGTCTGAGATGGAGAGGCAGAGGCGCGTCGACGGCTGGAAGCGGCCCGAGGGCGTGTGCATGCGGATCGCGGGAGGCGCGAACGGGTAGTTGGGCGGGAAGATGAGCGTTCCCCAGTACTGGCCACCATGGTAAGGACTATCCTCGGGGCCCGTGATGATGTAGTGCCACCTGTTGGTGGAAACAAGGGTCAGTGTTTCGGCGCGCTGTTGAGCGAGAACCACCGCGTGGCACCACGTGGACCGCCGGCAACGTCGGGGCAAGGGACAGTAACATACTCTAGGATGTTGGACTCTGAGGGATGTGCCGTGATGTATGGCGGGGGGTTCTTGGCGATAGCCTTGTACTCAAGCGTGAGCTACGGCAGAAAGTCAGTCATTAGTCTTGCCACTCTCAGTCTCGACAATGGCGTGGCAGCGTATGTGCGAACTATCCAGTCAGCCTACATACCCGCTTGGTGGCCGCCTTGGATGCCATCGAGATGGATTCAAGGACGAAACGCGATCAAGGATGCGGATGGCGACTTGGCGCGAGCTCGATGGGCGATCTGATGGACTTGGTCGCAAATGAGGGTCGAGAGTTGTTGGCTGACGGTGAAGGAGGTGAGCGGTTGGTTTGGTTTAGTGGTTAGTGGTTGGGGTGGCGGAGAAAGGCGGGATTTCGGTCAGCGAGTGTGGTTTGTGGATTGAGATGCACGACAAGAGGGGTGCGACGAATGATTGTCAAGAAGAACAAAAGGCAAGAAAACTGCCAAACAAAGACAGGGGAAGTGGTCGAATCCAGAGGGCCGATGGGTCGCGAGAGCGAATGATGGACCAGCCTGGATGGTGATGGGATATGCGAGAGGTTCTGGTGACGTGAACTTGGGCTGGGGGTGGGTCGGTCTTTCAGCTGGGCTGAGAAGCTAGCGGAGATGGGTGGATGGCAAAGGCACGTGCCGCTGACAAGCATGACAAGGACAAGCTGGAGATAGGTTCGCTAACATCCCTTCGTATCACCTATTGCCGATGCACCCGCGCGGCAGTGACAAAGCAAGGGGCCGACTGACGCAAGCCACCTGTCCCTGGCTTGGCGAGCCCACCAGCCACAACCACAAGCACAGTTCGGGCAGCCAATTTTGGAGCGCCGGTCACTTTGCGCCCTGCCCCTACGAAAGGGAGCCGACGACGACGAGTCGTGAGACTAGACCCTCGGGAATTAGAGACCAAAACCGCTGCCATGGTGTCCCCAAGCCAGTTCGGCAGCGACCATGTATGCCTCGGCCACAATGGCTCCCAATCTTCCGCCGCCGCCAACTGTTGCTGACCCAGACACGCTACCACCCATCATGACAGGGCCTCGACGGCATCAGTAAGCTCGAAACCAACGTCGACGCGCTTAGTCGGGAGGCCCAGGCACGGGTGCCCGCGGCGCTGGAGGAGCGGCAGAGAAGAGCAAGGCAGGCTGCTTTGGTACGGCCACTACACTTCATGCGCCCTCGACGTTTCCCGAGCTTGATGCGCCTCCCCGCCTTCCCGGGGCGTTAGAACGTTTTGGGTAGCTCCGAAACGGTAGCTACGAACCTGCATGGCTGACTGCCGACGGGAACCAACAGCTCGAGCAGCAGATGGGCAGCCCTGCCACAATAAACTCTCTGCAGATCCACGGCGCGAAGAACACGAGGAAAACCTTCCTTGCCCCGATATTCGATCCCTTGGTCTCCCCTGAGAACAATGCCGGCACTACCCTCGGCGACGTGCTCGCGAGGCTGCACGAGGCCACCAACAAGCTGGACCGATTCGGTATGGGTGCCCGCCACCCCCTGTTTGGCGTTTCAGGCCAGGTATTCTAACCAGCAATGGCGCCATCACTACAGAGATCTTCAAGCCGGAGCCCAGGGTCTACCTTTCGAGCGCGCGCGACTCTGACCCGCTAGCGGCCGCAACAGACCTGGACGTGGACATCCGGGTAGCAGAGCGGGGCCGATGGATGCTCAACACTGGGACGGACCTGGGCAACGCCGAGGGCTCGGCCTACGGCAACCTCCTCTGCCGCAACCTGTTTGGTGGCGCTGAATCGCTCTCACTCAACGCCAAGGCGGGCACCCGTACTCGGTCCGCCTACACGACCGCCTTCTCGACTCCGATCAATGGCGACCCGGACCTGCGCTTTTCGCTCGAGGGCCTGGCCTCGGCCACCGAGAAGCCCTGGGCCAACCACGAGGAGGTGCTGCGCGGCGGCACCGCGCGCCTCGCCTGGCGCGACCCGCGGACCACCAACGCCCACACGCTCTCGCTCGGCTCCAACTGGCGCCAGCTGACGGGCCTGGCCGGCGCCGCCTCGGCCTCGGTCCGCGCCGACGCCGGCGACAGCGTCAAGACGGCGCTCACGCACACCTTCACGCGCGACCGCCGCGACAGGCCCGTCCTCGCACAGAGCGGCTACCTGATGCGCACCACGTCGGAGCTGGCCGGCTGGGGCCCGCTCGGCGGTGACGTGTCCTTCGCCAAGACGGAGCTCGAGCTCGCCGCCGCCCAGCCCCTGCCCCTCCCCGGCATCCCCGCCGCCAAGACGGGAATCTCGGTCGGGGCCGGCCTGCGCTTCGGCCTGCTGTGCCCGCTGCCGCTCGGCTTCCCCAGCCGCGGCAAGGCGGCGGCGGCGCTGGCGGCCCCCAGCCGCATCAACGACCGCTTCCTGCTCGGCGGCCCCACCGACGTCAGGGGCTTCAAAATGGGTGGCCTGGGGCCCCGCGACGGGGCCGACGCCCTGGGTGGCGACGTACTGGCCGCCGGAGGCGTCCACATGCTGCTCCCGCTGCCTCGGGCAGGGGCCGAGTCGCCGCTGCGCCTGCAGCTGTTCGCCAATGGCGGGCGCCTGGTCGGCATCAAGAACAAGGGCGGCAAGGCCAAGGAGGCGGGCGCCGGCGCTGGCATGAGCCAGGGTGCCGTCGTGCGGGGCCTTCAGTCTGCCGTGGCCGAGGTGTTTAATGGTCTGCCCAGCCTGGCGGCGGGTGTCGGTTTGGTGTATGCACACCCCGTCGCCCGATTCGAGCTCAACTTTAGCCTGCCCCTTGTCATGAGGCGAGGCGAGGAGGGGCGCAAAGGGCTCCAGGTTGGTGTTGGCATCAACTTCCTCTAAGGGAAGCTACCGAGGGAATGGGCCCAGGGGCCAGCCCGCCGATCGCACTCTAACCCTTGTAGGACTAGTGCTTGATTAGCTAAAAAAAAAAAGAGACCAGACGTCACACGGGAGCAGCGCAGCTGTGTCGATATAATGCCAACCCCCTTTGTATTTAGAGTTGACAAAATTGCGGCCGGGCTAGGCTCGCCATGAGTTGCAATTATTGAAGGCGCGATGCCTGACTTGCACTTTACTGAACCGGCCCTGACGTCAAGACGACTCGGACCGGCTCGTGATACATGAGCGAGAACTCTGTGGTGCATGATTGATATCGGGTTCCTTGTGAAAATTTTGCTTTCAGGGGTCTATTCTACTCATCATGTAAATCTTCACTCTTCACACAAACGTCCTCTCGCGGTCATGGGCGCTGTCTGTCCTAAGCTGCAGCCGCCGCGGTCGTGGCCGTCCCCGGATTTGCGAGCGGGACATGGCCCGAGGCGCCGTCCCCGTGGGCCTTGGCGGCGGCCTCGGCGTTCAGCCCGGCGACAACCTCGTCGTAGACCTTGTAGGCGTGGTCCTCGGCGTTGAAGTTGAGCAGCCACTCGTGGCGGACGAGGTGCAGCGACTCGGGGTCCCTGCGCACGGCGTCCCAGTCGGCGCGGTGCCAGCGCTCGCGGGTGGCGACGCCCGTGGCCTGGGCGGCGTGGACGCGGTCGTAGCGGATGCGCTCGTAGGCACGCAGGGCCTCGGGCACGCGCCCCTTGCCGGCCCGCTCCAGGCACACGGCCAGGGTCGCGCCGTCCTCCATGGACTGGCTGGCGCCCTGGATGGACGTGGGCAGGAACGGGTGGGCGGCGTCGCCGAGCAGGGCGATGCGCCCGCCCGGCGAGACAAAGGTCGGGAGCGGGTCGCGGAACACGAGCTTGTGGTCGATCAGGCGGCCGTCGGGCGTGGCCTTGACGAGCTCGCGCACCACGTCGCACCAGCCGTCCAGGTAGGCCAGCGCCTCGGGCACCCTGCCCGGGAACGACCAGCTCTCTTCGATGTTGCCGTCGTCGAGGTGGGTGAAGACCCAGTTGACCTCCTTGCCGCCGGCGATGGACGAGGCCAGGAAGTGTATGTCGGGCCCGATGAAGCCGTGGTGGATGTCGCCGCCGCCGGGCGGCGCGGCAAAGTGCGCGATGGCCGGGTTGCCGACCACGCGGTCCGAGGGGAACCAGGCGCGGTAGACGGCGTAGCCCGACGACTTTGGGTTGTCGTCGGAGCCGAGCACGATGCGGCGGCCGCGCGAGCGCACGCCCTCGGCGGCCAGCACGACGTCGGCCTCGTGGCGCTCGGGCCCGCCGTCGAGCTCGACGCCGGCGGCGCCCGCGGCCGTCTCGAAGTAGTCGGTCACGCGGCGGCCCAGGCGCACGTCGATGCCGCGGGCCAGGGCGTGGCGCCAGAGCACGGCGTGCATCTGGCCGCGGTGGCCGTTGATGCGGTGGCCCCACGCGCGCTCGCCGGCGAAGGACTGGCGCGTCACGAGCTCGCCGCGCCAGTCGTGCAGGTCCAGGTGGTCCGTGTCGCGCGACATGGCGAGCAGCTCGTCGACGACGCCCGGCCAGCGCGCAAAGACGTTGCTGCCGTTGGCGTCGAAGCTGATGATGTCGCCCACCCGCTGGCCCTCCTCCACGTCGGCCATCTTCTCAAACACCGTCACCGCGTGGCCCTTGCGGTCGCACTCGATGGCCGCCGCGAGCCCGCCGAAGCCCGCGCCCACGATGATGACCTTGATGCCCGACGGCGGCAGCCGGGGGAAGGCTGTTTCCGACGCCATGCTGCCTGTTTCGGGGGCCCTGTTATGTCCCTCGGTCTATCTGCCGACGGGGTTGCTGTGGCCGACGGCCTGGTCTGATCTCTGTACGGTCACGACGGGTTCCAAGAATATGGCGAGATAGGCAAGTTAGGGTGAGGCGAGAATCCGGCCACTGCTGCCGAGTCAACAAGATCCTGATCCATCCCTCCCCGTCAGCGAAAAGGAGCCTTGGCGGCCGCGCTGGGAGGAACGCAACCCAGCGGCGATGTTCTTCCGATCGGGGCATTTCTGCTGCCAGATTTCCCGCCGCCATCTGTCAACTGCCGAGGCCGTGCCACCCCCACCAAGCAAGCCACAGGAGGAAGCGGAGAAGTAGCGAGTGGGCGGCCAAGACATCGGCATCCAAGCTTCCGATATCGATGCGCTCATTGTCTGCTGTTTGGGCACAGATCCATGCACCTTAGCATATGAGAAACGAAGTGACATGCAATTGACGCTAATTTCTTCTACCTCAACAATCCATCCCACGATTTTCCCTCTCCCCCGAAACCCAACCCAAGCTGGCCGGACACCACACACTGTCGCAGTCGCCTCCGAAGCAGCAGCGACAATGCAAAACTCGAGAAAGCAGTAGAAAACATCGCAAGAGAGCTCTGTGAAAAAAAAGCGACATGGCGAAAAGGCAGATAAAGCAACGAAAAAATGAAGACAAAAAGACAAAAAACACGCGCGACCGGAACAAATGACGACTCAAGGAGAAATGCGAAATACCAAGAACAGCACCGCCCGTCTCTCCATCCCTGACGAATGTGCTGCCGATTGGTGCTGCCGGGGTTCGCCTGCGCGGACAGTCGGTCTCTCGGGCATGGGGCGTTGGCAGTTGCCTCGGCAACGCCCCGTGAGCACCTGGCAGTCTTAGTCCTCCTACTGCTGGCTCGCGAATAGCGCGGCTCCCATCGCGGCGGCATTGCGGCTACGGTCAGGAGGGGGCAAGGTGTTAGTCTGCAGCTTTTCGAGACTTTGGACGCGGTCAGGGAGGTGGTGTCTTACATATCATCTCTGTGCTGCCCCCAGCAATGGACGCTGATGCCACCCTCGACGTTGTGCTCCAGGGTTGACACCCTTTTCTTGATCTGGGCCTGAACGTAGCAGTTCATGCCGACGCCGCCGCAGAGAATTATATGCTACAGAAAGGCCGGCGTGCCGGGAAACCAGGTTAGTTTTGATCACCTCGTTTGGCTACCGGTTACCCGGCGTCCCGGGTCCGCTGTTTCCGCCTCTCCCTACCGACGGGGGATGTCCATCTGCGATGGCCTGTTGCACACTGCTGTCGAGGAAGCCGTAGGTGGCGCCCACGACTGGATCGAATATCGAATTTCGATGTTCCCTAATCATAGCAATATTTTTCGAAGACATCCCCATAATTAGCGCCCTGTCTCTGACCTTGGATTATCGTCCCGGGGCGGCATTGATAAAGATTGGGACCTACTCTGAGAGCTGGATTGAGGAATGAGTGCCCTTGTTTGGCCATGTTTCGGGAAGTCTCAGCGTGTAGGGGCCGCCGTCCGTGCCATGCCGAACCTTTTTGTTCTCCCACGTCTTCCTCATGAACTTCCCGATCTCGTCGTCAGTGAGATTGAGGCCGCCAGGGTACGGCCCGTCTTCCTTTTGTAGCTCCGTCTTGAGCCAGGTCTCAAAATGGTTGTCCAACACCACACCACCACCAAAGGCCCCATGCGTGTCTCCGAGCTGCTTCACCCGTGGAGGGTTCAGTGACTTGATGCCGTAACGGGCGACGTCCTATAACAAATAAATAGGTATCTGATTAGAGACAAAACTCACACGGTATAAGCAATGGTGGAATGGGGAGTCCTTATGGGTGCTCACAATGGTGCCTCCTCCTATATCACACACAATCATCACGTGGCCAACCTGTGAACAGGTTAGTCGGGGGAGATCCTGTCGTTGACACTGAGCACAGACTACTAACCCGGGCTTCTGCGAGGACCTCGGCCTGCTTGAGTAGGTAACACGCCGCGGCCTCGGGCTCTGACAGCGGCTGCGGTTCGGCGGTAGGCCATGGCGATCTCAATGAGGCGAAAATCGCCTCCCGGGTGCTCGTGATACCGCCTGTTTTCCACATAACAGGATGTGTGAAGCCAACCCGGACAGACCTGATCTTAACTCTACCCCACTCTCGTTCGGCAATGAGGTCGTCGAGCGCCTCGTTGCAGTGGGGAAGGGCCTGTTCCCATAATTTTTCCAGGTACATCTGAGCCACCTCGGCCGCCTTCTTCTTGTTAAGCTCCAATGCGAGAAGCGCGTCCTTGTATTGTCTCGATGATCTGATGTTGTTGTCAAGCCTAGCTGGCTTCTGAAGTAGGAGTTTGAACCACCGAAAAGTGTTGCTCTGAAACTCCTGGCATTGATTTCCCCAACGGGAAGAGTCGTATGTCACCTCTGTCGGAAATTTGGGTCCACCCAGCTTCTTGAGATCGAGGAACTCGCTGTAGCGCTCTGTCGGTGCACTGACGTGGATCGAGATGCCGCTGCGCCTATTATTCGAGATAGCTGCCGTGTTATTGGGGTCCTGTCTGCAGCGAGAGGTGACATGGGCAAGTGGTGCATGACATGGTTGACCAAGAGGGGGACCAAGAGGGGGCTCTTACGTTGTTCCCAGATCAACCCCAATTGACAGATCAACCCCAATTGGCAGATCGACGGCCACCATGTTGGCGCTCTGGGGAGTTTCGGCTTGGGTGACCTGCGGGTGGAAAGCTCGCGGTTTGGGTGACCTGCGGGTGGAAGGTTTGCGGCTTGGGTGATCTAGGGGTGGAGGGGAGGAAGATTGGATTTACGAGATATGCCTGAGGGCACCACAGTCTAACTTGTAGCAAAAGAGAGAAGGGGAAAACATGGCTGCGAGATGTGACTGGGCGGAGTGACTGGACAGGAACAAATGTACATTTTTGGTTTTGGGTTTTCCTGCCAATGTGTAAATGTGTGACGTGGAAGACAAGGCGCCGCCAGTACGAAGGAAAGCAGAGGAGAAAACATAGCAAAACATAGCTGCGAGATATGACTGCACGGAGTGACGAGTTAGAGACAACCAAAGCTACCGGGGTGCCTCAAGCTGGTAGGCCTAGCTGGGCGAAGCAAACCACCAACCCGTTGTCTCCCACTTTGTCAGGCGGCCAGGAACAAGAAAGATAAAGGAGAGTCGGAAGGCATAGCACGAATAAAGATAGGGGCCATTGAAACCCCCGAAAGCCTGTGGTCGGGAAAGCCGGGTGACTAACTTGTGACGGTTGTGCGCGTTTCCGGCCCGAGGATTTATATGACAATAATAATGACGTGACAGCAAACAAGCCGCCAGGCGCGGGCACCTAGGCCAGCAGCATGGACCCAGGCGGGTAGATACCTCACTGGGCCTCAATGGAGATAGCAAACGGAAGCGTACATGTGTGCATGCAGGTGACTGCCTGGATTAATCATTGCTGTCGGGCGAGTGCGGATCCCCTTACCATTGTTGCACAAAGAGGGCACCGCCGTGGCAGCGAGCTTCAGGATATTGTCTCTTCTTCGGTGCATTTTCCTGCTACCAGAGCCGCTTCCGGGCACTTGGCTATAGTTCAGGCCGCGCCTCCCAGCCACCTCGACTCTAGCCTCCCTTTGTCCATGGCATGCCAGATGGGAACTGAGCGCGGCACTGGCATCTGAACCATTGGTCCTAACTACATTCCATCCCGGCAGCGCCTGTCCGGAGCCAATCCCAGGCCGCAAGCGGCCGCCGTCGTGCCTCCTCGCCTTGTTACAGCTGTGAGTCTGCCATCCCTCAGGATACAAAGCTGGCGGCTTCCATTGCTCTGCCTACCTACTCGGCCCTCGCTTTTCTTCCTCGACGTGTGTGCTTTGCCGCCATAGCTGCTCCCATCTTCTGCCCAATTTCTCCCTCACTTTAGCACACTCTTTCATCATCCGTTCTACACACGCTAACCTCTGCGCCGCAATGGGGCCTAAGAAGCGTAGTTGCCGTCCCCATCCGCAGGCTCCTCCTACGAAACAGCGCAATCGCCGTCCGCAACCGCAGGCGCCTCCCAGTAAAAAGCGGCTGATCGACGGGATCGATAGTTCCGCGATACGTACCGGCCGCACGAGAGCCGAACAGAGGCGCATACTCTCTGCTCCTGGCCCCCCTGCCGCCGCCGTTCCTGTCGCTGCCTTGGCCCCTGCCTTGGCCCCTGCCGCTCCTATGGTCGCCGCCGCCACTCCTGTCGCCGCCGCCCCTACCGCCGCCGCTGCCGCCACTGCCGCCGTCGCTGCCGCCGTCGCTGCCGCCGTCGCTGCCGTTCCTGTCGCTACCGTTGCCCCTGCCGCCGCCGCCACTGCCCCTGACTTGGCCGTTGCCGCCCCTGCCGCATCCAACAACCCCGCCCAACCTGGCAGTCCAAGCAACCCCGCCGGCCCTACTCCCTCTGAGGACCCTGACGGCCCTGCCACACGCAATAACCCTGACGAACCTAGCCCCCCGGGCAGCCCCGGCAGCCCTGCCCCTTCTGCTGGCACGGCCCCATTGAACGACCCTAGCGGCTTTGCCGCATCTAACAACCCTGCCCAATCTGAAGGCCCAGACAGCCCCCCCGGCCCTGCTCCCTCTAAGGACCGTGACGGCGCTGCCACATCTGACGGTCCAGACGGCTTAGACGGACCTGCCTCCCCGGAAGTCCCCGCTGGCCCTGCTGCCTCGGACATCCCCGTCGGCCCCGCTCCCTCCAACGACCCTGAAGGCTCTGCCTCCCCGGACGACCCCGGCAGCCCCGTCGGCGATGCGCCACATCGGAACGCACCCGAAGACAGCGCTTTCAAGTTTAACCCCTTGGATCCCAAGTGCGCCAAAGCCTTCCAACTCGACCACCCCTCCCCATCTTCACGGAATCTCATTCACCTTTTACTGGGTTGCTTTTGGACACTAACATTCCATGATCGAACCCCCTCCCCTATAGAACCTACCCAAAGCTCGACGAGCTTCGTTCCGATGACGACGACGACGAGATAGCGAACCCGGGTATGACGAGAGCCGAGAGAAAACGGCAACGGATGGATACGAAAGCGGTCGTCATTGCCAAATCCATACTGTCGGACGAGGCAAAGCGCGAGCTGCTAGGAGTGGAGAAGAATCCCAGCTTACGTCACATCCAATCCTCCATCATGTGCTGGTACGACCCAAAGAATTTGGGGCACGGGCTCCGCTCCGCCCCATCCGAGACGGCCGACAATTCCCCCCGCGACGGGAGGAGCCACCCAGACAAGTCCGAGCCTCCTCGTCTCCTCTCGGATGAGATGAGAGAGTGGATCAGGTTTGGACTCGGCGAGGACATCGATTTCAAGCTGGAGTGCAAGGTCGCCCGTCACCTCCTTGCCGTGAGTCAGCGTCATGTTCCCGGACCAGGGGACCCCGAGGTTTGGAGCGAGGTGCGGCTCGTGCAGGAGGGCTCACTGAAGACAAAATTGGAGACAAAGTTGGACGGCTCTATCCCGCCACCTTCTCTGTTCTATCCAACGATGCACCCTTGCCTGAACCCCTGCGATATGGGAATGGAGATCGGTGACGCATTCTTCCATCTCGCCAGAAGCATATCCGTCCTCTCAGGAGGGGTCACCCAAGTTTCTTGGGAGTCGCTCCACTGTAGCGTCAAGGACAAGTTGAAAGAGTATTCGGACCAGGCTGAGAATCATTGGGATGCCGGATACAAGCCACATCTCGCCCGGGCGTTCATCTGGCATGCCCTTGAGGACCATTTCTTCTCCAGCACACCCAAGGACAAGGATATGTTCAGCTCTCCGTTGTGGGTGGCGGATAATCTTCTGTTCGAAGGCATAAAAGGTAAGATAATTTGCGAAGACGAGCACGCTTGCCTCTCTTTTCCTGCTCTTCCTTGTCACACCTATTATTTGTCTTCCCTGCCCGCTAGGCTTTTTGCTGACGCCTCACATGTGAGGCTGGGATACCCAGAGGGGTACCAAGCATGGTGCGCAGAAGCTCGTGAAGAGTTCGAACAGGTCTTGGCGAGCCACGATGACAGGAACATCCTACGCGAAAAGGAGCGATGCAAGAGGGTTGGCGACGCCCTGCAGGCGCAACATAGGACCTGGAGGGCCATAGGCGGCCGTATGATCACGCGAATTGATGCGGGGCGACTGAGTCAGGACTACATCAAGAAGTTTGTCAAGAAGGAGCTGGAGCACCTGGTCAACTTCGAGTCTCCACGCCTGATCGGTCACAAAGATGATACTTACGACCTCTGCCCCTTGGACGCGCTTGCCATGCGTCTCTGCCAGTTCGACCATCAACGCCGCATCGACGTCAAGGACCATTACTTGGTGTGGAACCTAGAGGACATCCTGGCCACGCCCGATGACCCCCTACAGTCCCCCGTCCGCCGGAGCCGTAACGTTTATGGCTTCCGCTGGGTGACCAAGCCACCGTATCGCCAGAGCCCCGACGCCGAGTTCATCCAATTTCTTCCCGACGAAGTCATCGCTGGGCTGCAGGATCGGATGGCACGTATGGGGGCCGAACATGTGCGGTGCCCTGTCGCCATGCCCGTCGTCAGCCTTGTTGAGCAGCCGATGCTGGTGGCACACGGCCCTGCTTGGAATTTTAGATTTCCTCGGGGCTTCGACGTCGTGTACCCGATGGTCATCAAAAGGATGCCCGGGGATGTTGACAAGGCGATGAAGGCGCTGGCCGACGACAAGGCGGAGTGGGAGGCCAAGCTGAAGGCTTAGCTGGCCCAGCCGATGCTGATAGGGCGTGCTGGCGGTCATTTCGGGCTTGGAGCTTCATGGTGGCTGCCCCTGTGGAACCACTGGCGGGCCCGTCCATCTTGTTGGACATTTGGCGCTGTGAGTTCGGATTACGGGTCGGCCAGTACCTGTAGGAGGCAGCGCATGATGTCGGCTTCGCGCGGTAGAGATTGTTTCAGAGTGGATGCTTCCTTTTTGTTTCCTGGTCCTTTTTTTCTTGTTTCTTCTTTTCCTCTTCTTTTCGTTCTTTCCAGTCCCTGTCTGGTATCATCACAAACCTTTCAATCATTCTTTCTGACTGTCTCAAACCGGCTCCTCATTGAGCAAGCACAGCTTGTATTTACACAAAAGCTATACCAAGAATGACATAGAAGGGGCGGTTAGGAGTCGTGTGTTCGTGTCACAAAGGAGGCTATCACCAAGAGCCGGCACACTGTACCAGGCCTTTGTTCAGACGATCTGCATGGGCACCGGTGCGGAGCACCGGTGCCGCACAGGGTAGATGCTTGCCGAGCACTCGTCGGCAATAACGGGGGTGCGGTAACGGTTACCGCGCCTGCAAGAGAGGGGATCATGTATATAAGGAGGGCACAGGGCCCTCGGCCCTGTGCCCGTCTTCTTTTCTCCTCAGAGATCTAGATCAACATACAATAGACCCTATCTTGCACTGTTTGTCCGTCATAGTTCGCGATTGGTGGCAAGCAAAGTAGTAGCGAAAGATTGCATCAACATTAATGTAGTTGAAGTGACTTCATTTCGAGTGGCCACTGCGAAATTGAAAGGCTAAATAAAATAAGCATATCAGTTCGCTACTTTTATGCAAAAATTTATCAAGGATTCCTCCACGGCGTCGGCAAAGATGGGTGCGGTGCGTAGATGAGTTTGTCGATCCTCCCGACGAATATAGTGTCGGGCTCCCTCTCGGGCCGGGCGTACCAGGAATACACAGCGAGGGCGATATATTTGTCAAAGGCGGGGAACACCACCGACAGCGCGGCGGGCCCGCCGCCCTCGCCCGGCCCGGCCATGCGCGGAGCCATGGCGCTGATGGTCGGAGAGAATCCGGGGCTGCCCCAGGGATCACATTTGTTGACGCCGGTCAGTGCTGCCGCCATCTGAGCGGTCCAGCTGGCGCACCGGGGCTCCCTGTTCCACCACGTCCTGTGCATTGGGATACTTTCGTTAAGCACGGATGGGTTGAGCGAATGGTCGAACTTCTTCCAGGGGGAGGCTTTGATGAGCTGGATGTTCAGAAGGAGGTGGAGCTTGTAGTGTAGAAGTTCGAGCCTTTGAAGCATGCCTGGCCCGGTAATTGATATTTCTGGTACTTAGCCTTGCGTCCAAAAAGAAAAGCGACCTGACACACTCATTTGAAGCCAGCTGCAGCACCAACGTCATTTTTTTCATCCAACCCGAAGGCCAAAAAAAAAAACATCAGATGAAAGATTCTGCCAAGCGGTCAGAAAGTCTGCAGCAAAATGCACGGACTATTGCCTAATCCGGCTATATATTAGCCACGTCCTTGCCCTTGATCAACAACATAAAAACTCTTCCTTCTCACTCAACCATCGCCGACAAGATGGGAGACTCCGACCGAGACCACGAGATGGGCCACAGCGCCGCAGACACCGTAAGTCCAGCCTTTTCCTTCAGTTGGTACGAAGGAAGTTGTCCCATGGGGGATCTGCATCCAGCACCTTCATTCTTCTTGATCACCATTCCCCTCCATCCGGAAAGCACATTCAAAGATCTCTTCGGAGATATGAGCTGCGACAAGACAGGCAGGGGCGTTTACTAGACCTACTCGGAAGCTGAAAAGCTTCTCGGCACACTGTGCCAAGAGCATCCGCCCTGCTTCGACCGATGCCACACATCGGTACACCTGTTCTTCTCGTGGGACCACACCCGTGTTCAGCGATAAGGGAAACTGCGCTGGCTTGTGCAAAACGACGGACGCCTTGGTCAGGCAATACCCGGTAACCTATATGGGACCCCGCAAGGGTGGCCCATGGCTTGCAGAGATGCACAAGTTCGCACGGCGAGCTCGGGGTGAACAAATGGGCTTTCTGGCGTGGAGGGGGATGTTTGAGATGACAGAGTGTGGAGGTGTGGACTTACACAGCCGAGTTTCATTTGCTGACTGGATGCAGAACTCGAAAGCAGGCACCCGCACCCGCACCCGCACAGCCGACCTCTCCATCGCCCAGCACATCCAGCAGTTCGGCATGGACCGGATCACGCCGGAAACGCTCTAGCAAGGCGTGGACGAGATGGGCAGCGCCGAGAGAGCCCCCAAGCAGATCATCGACGCCGCGACGCAAGCCTCCGAGTCCATCGGCTGCACCCCGGATCAGAAGCCCCAAAGCTCGGCGCTGGCCGCCGCAGCCACCCGCACGCCAGAGAACGCAGTGTCATACCTTGCGGCCTCGGTGGCAAATCTGGACTAGGAGTTCAACCATCACCGTGGTATGCAAGATGCCGCTCAGTCAGCTCTTGCAATCCACCAGCAGTCGCTTCAGGAAGGTCATAACGATTTTCAAGGGGAGATTCCCCTCCTGCGAGGCAGAGTTGGCACCCTGGAGAGCGAGCTCGAGGCGGCCAAGAAGGACCTGCATGCTTGCATCCAGGCCATCAGAGGCCTCCAGCGCGAGGTGGAGGAGCTGAGATCCACCAGGGACCAGGTTTGTTCTTCCCATCTGTCACAGTTTCAACCTTGACCCAGCTAACGCTTCTGCTTCGTGGCCCCAGCAGACACCCCTGCCAATCCGTCACCGCGAGATCTAGGATCATTTGGTGGAAATGCACGATTGGAAATGGTAGACGGTGGCTTCGATGACCGCGGCTTCTTGTAGATTTCATTTTCAGCGAGGCTGTAATAGAGTCGGCTGGCTTGTACAGTAGCGTTTACCAGTTCGCTTGGACAACAAGTAACTCGGATACTTTCTTGATTGACACGCAGCCCACCTTTGCACCGACTCAGCCCGACTGCCATCTCAGGACAATTCCCTCGTGAAGCTCTTGAGTATAACCTGCCCGCCGAGCGCCTTGGTGGCGAAGTTGAAGGCCGCGAACCGATACCCGGTGAAGTAGTTATACTCGTTAATCATGGTGGACGCACCCAGGCGGGTCCACGTGTTGCCGTCGGTGCTGTAGCTGAAGACGGCTTGGCGGACGGGCGACAGGCCAAAGGCGGGCGTGATGTCTGCCGCGACGCGCAGCCAGACCTCGGCCCCGGACAGCGTGGGCCCCGTGGCCGAAACGGAGCCCTTGGATTGGGTTGGCCAGCCGGCGCTCGAGGTGCCGAGGTTGACGCTGTTGACCATGACGACGGTGGCGGACGATCCGGACTTGTGCACGCCGATGTAGGCGCCCTTGTCGCGGAACAGCGCGGCGCCGGCGCGGTCGCCGTCGCGCATCTGCGACACGTCGAGGCGGAACGTGGCCGTGGACCGGGGCCCCAGGATGCGGTGCGTCAGCGTGTTGCGCGCCGTAAAGAGATCGTCGGTCACGGTGGCGGCCTGCAGCACCAGGCCGCCGCCCGACTGCAGGCGCCACTTGCTGTCATCCGGGTTGTGGTTCCACTCCCAGTGCGGCGACAGCTCCGAGCCCGTGAAGTCGTCGCGGCGCGCCGGGCCGGGCACGGTCCTGGACGTCTGCACAGGCTTCGGGTACGTGGTGCCCCAGCGGCCCGACGAGTCCTTGACCAGCTGGGGCCAGCCGTCCGACGACCAGGTCAGGGGCGCCATGACGGGGATGCGGCCGCCCGGGTAGGCGTCGAGGAAGGCGATATAGTGCCACTTGCCGTCCTTGGTCTCGACCATGCCGCCCTGGTGCGCCCAGCCGGCGTTTGAGAGCGGGCCGGGCACGTTGTCGAACAGCACGCGCTGCTCGTAGGGGCCCCAGGGGCTCCGGGACCGCAGCACCCACTCACCCGACGCGACCTTTGTCGGCACGATCCAATAGTAGCCGTTGATCTTATACATGTGCGAGCCCTCGATGTAGGCACCGCCGGGGGGAGAGTAGACCTGCTGCGACCGCACCTCGCTGAAGCCGTCCTTGGACAGCTGCGCGACCTGGATGTTGGTGCTGCCGTAGGCGACGTACATGGTGTCGTCGTCGTCGACGAGCAGGCCGCAGTCGTAGTAGCACTTGTTGATGGTGCCGCCGCGCTTCCAGTCCCAGCGCGAGACCTCGCCGTTGTTGGAGTTGGCGCCGCCGCCGGCCGACGTGTAGACGTACGTCTTGCCCGTGCTCTGGACGCAACCGATCCAGTAGAAGACGTCGTTGGACTTGCGGTGCCGCAGCGTGCTGGCCCAGATGCCCTTAACGTAGGCCCGGTCCGTGGCCGAGTTGAGGTTGTAGCGGTTCTCAAAGTCGAGGCGCGGCACGCTGTGCGTCACGGGCGTCCAGTTGACCAGGTCGTACGACTTGTGCACGGGCGCGCCGGGGCTGTAGGCGAAGGTCGAACTCGAGTAGTAGAAGACGTCGCCGACCCGGAACACGTCCAGATCCGGGAGGTCCTCCCAGAGGACGGGGTTTGAGAAGGTTGATGACGACTGCCGGGCGAGCAGCGGCGTCGCTGGGGACACGTTCAGGGGCGAGCCCAGGGCGCGGCCGAGCAGGCCGGCGAGCGCGAGGGCCGCCGTCTTCCAAGACATGTTTGGCACTCAGCTCGGGGCCTTGGTAGGTAGGAGGAGGAGGGCGGATGCCATTGACGGGTGACAGCTGCCATGACTGCGAGGACGATACCCTTCACTTATACTGGCCGATCCAACGAGGGAAACACAATTATCCCGGCGCATACCAGTGACTCGGGCGGCTCAATTCTATGATCCAGAATCCCCTCTCGCGGCGCAGATTTTCCGGCGGCCGAATTCGACGTCGACGCGTCTGATTCGAGCGCATGCGGGCCCTGGCGGACCAATTCCCACGTCGTTGGGGGATCGCGGTGCGGAGAAACCGCAGGTGGTGTCGCATCGAATGGGTCCTTGGCCGACACCTATTCCAGCCAAGCTCGTCGGGCTCCCCTCGTCTCCGCAGCGTTTGCAGGATTGGCCCCTGCGGACGTGGTTCCGTGGCCAATTGAGGCAACCGACAGGGGCAGGGAAGGACTGTCCCGGCGGCCGGGTCCGACGCGAGCTTTTCCACCAGACGGCAGGATGGGCTTGAATTAAGCAGCAGCACGCACTAGGCTACTTTGGGTCAGTCTTTCAGCTGAACGCTCTTGGTGAGTCCAACTGATGCACAAGTCTGCCATTGATGTTTGCCGCTCCAAGATCTCGGGGTTGAACAGTGACCGCTATATTCTTGTACAGCCACTTCAACCCCCAGAAATGCGGGAGTGGACACGAATATGCCTTGTGCTCAGTATTGTTTGTTGCCACCTGCTTTGATGTGCGCTCCAACGAATATTCACGACCCCAAAAGGTTGAGTTGTGTCTGCTTGTGTCTACCATGGCCTGCAGATGATCACGAATGGGGGCAATGGGTGAAGGAGAATTTGTCCTCAGGTTCGTGGCTGCTTCATTCACCGCCCTTGGCCCTTTCTTCACCTTACTACAGCAGATAGAGGGCGCTCCGGAGATTGTGGTATAAATAGGGATCCCCGAGGAAAACGGGGCGAGGCGGTGATTGCCATCCAGAGAGCCAGTCAGGACCCCTAGGCCCGACAAAATCACTCACGATGTCGAATCTCAGCGAACCCGGCCCAAGGACGCCGAGCGAGCCGCAGCTCAAGCTACCAACGGATCCGGACGGCTGGCAAAAGGAAGGGGGGGATACCCTGCTTGAGGCGCCTAGGACGCCAGGCACTCGGTTCTGGGAGGCGGAAGACGTATCGCCCATGGAAACGTCAGAGCTTCCTTGCGTCGGCGAGGACGATTCGCCGGTAGAATACTCCCACATGCCTAATGCAATGCATTCGGGTACCGCGACACCAACTTGGGCAAGAACTCGCAGCAACAAGACAGGCACTGAAATTGAAGATAACGTTAAGCCCTTTGAGAGGGCCTTGGAGGCGTGTGGTCGGTATCCACTCTCTGCCGCTTTTGTCGAGCCCCAGAGCATTGCCCAGAGACTCCAAGCAGAGATACGGAGGGGGCACCTGAATGACATCGGGCCCAGGATCCTCAGAGACTCGGCCCAGGACATTGTAATGTGGGAGACGCACCCGGAAGCGGACACCGAAAACCCCGGCAAGAGTTTCACGAGTGAGTTGGAAAGGCCGCAGAATATGGGGGAGGAGCGTTTACGCATGTGACAGGCAGGTCTGACAATGCCGATTCTATCAGGGTTCCAGAAGTACAGCATCAGCAGCGCAGGCGAGCTAGACACGCATCTTCAACGACCGGGAGCCACGCCCGAATCCAACAGCGTCCCCATAACGCGCGTCATTCTTCTAGCCTCAGAAGAGCGGAAGGGTGTCCTCCCGTGCGGCCGCGAGATGCTCAATAAGCTGCTCACCTACTTCCAGGTCGATCACAGCTTCATCGAGTCCATTAGGTCCTTCGAGAACGCACCCGGCTTCGCGCGCCTGTCATCTGCCCCTTTCTGGTGCCGCAGCACGGCCTTGGCACCCGCGAGGCAGCCGGCGCCTCCAGGGAGCCAGTGTCGGCCAGGTGGCGATATAAGCATGTCCTTCACGCTGCACACGATCCGACCCGACGACTACGGCCAATGGCCGATCGAGAGGCGCGCCGTCTACGGGCTACTCGACTTCGAGACGGGCCGGTCTACCCGGCTCGTTGTGAGTGACAACGACTGGAAAGCCAGGATCGGCTGTTCCGTTCGAGAGCGGATCCAGAAAATGCTGGATAGCCACCCGCTGGCTGCCATCGGCTCCGATCTCGGCGAGGAGACTGTGGCGGAACCCTTCGAGGCGTTCCTCGAGCATTATCTGTTCTTCATCACTTGGTGTGAAGAGAATTGGAGGGATTTCATGGCCGCCGTCGACACCGAGGTGGACCAGATCCTTGAGCGGGCGACGGGTATCAAAGACTCCGCATATGTCAAACAAGCTCGCGAGAGCGATCCTCCTGCTGTGCCGAGCCCCCCGATAAGCCCTATGGCAGTGCGCCAGCCGCAGCGGCATGGTCTCGGTCAAGGACTGAATCGCGGCGGAAGGAATAGGAAGGACCCCCGGGTCAAGTCCCAGGGAACCGTCTCTTTGGGGCCTGAGGCAGCGACGCTGGGGAAGGCCGACATCTTCCCACGAGATACTCGAGGGATGGGACAGGGCCTGCAGCAGCTCCCAGGCAAAACCGACGTGACCAAACAGGAGCTGGAGGAAAATAAGCATCAGGAGGAGGCCCTGAAGTCGCTCTGCCACGAGGACCTCCAAGCACTGCACGCCAACGCGGCGACAGTACATGCAGCAAAGGAGGCGGTGATCTGCAACATCGACGTTATTGTCCGTGCGACGGCGTTGCTTTTGGATACGGACTGGAGAGTATTCAAGGACGCAGGGCGCAAGTCTGGGCCCAATCAGAGGAACGGGCTCGACAAGCTGCTACAGCTCGCTGCCCAATCCCAGTACCACCTGGAGATGATGGGTGGAAGGCTGGGGCACCTGGGGTCAAAGATCGTACATGGGGCACAGCGGGTAAGTTGCTCCCCGTTTCCGGGAGCCCATGCCTGACGCAGCTCGCCAAACTAACAAAACCTGCAGTACGAGGGGCTGCTCCATCACAGGATGCGGCTCAGCAACGACAGAATGTTGCAAGAAATTTCACTTACGCTAGCCGGGTCGCTTGGGCGGGGCGGGCTGACGACAGAGTGCGCCAAGGAGGCTGGCGATGGCGAGGCAGCGAGCAGCAGCGCCTCGACTCTGGACTCGAGGCCACAGGCGGACGACAAGGGCGTCACCCTGGCGCTGATCGCGTGTGCGGCAGTTTTCGTCAGCGTTCTTGGAGTTTTGCTCATTCTCCAGACGCTGGTCGCTGCGCCGATCTGGTTCTGCAGTTTGCTCTTTGGCTGGGTCTTTCGTTGACATCCCCGGCGGGAACTAGGCGTGAATAGCATCGTGGAAGTCAGGATCATGCTACCAAGCGAGGACCTGGATCAAGGAACGGTTAGAGAGCCGTGCAAATAGCATCTAGAAAGCTAGGGAAGAAAACGGAGCGTTGCGTTTCATGCTATCTCGGGATTTACATAGCGTGATAGCAGTGGTCAATCGTTGTCGCTGTTGATGACGAAAGCTGAGCGAGGCAATGGGTTTCACGTGCCGCCGAATTTTCCAAAGCTCGATTCAGGGGCCTAGAGCTAGTGTGGGGCATGAGTGGGTCTGTCAGGACAATCAGCCCGCGGCGACGCCTTGGCCGCAGCCATCTGCCAAACACGAACATCCGAGGCGAAAACCGCTAGCATCAATCAAGCTATCGTGGTATTTCTCTCCAAGCTTCGGTCTTGAGGGACGCCAAACTGTTCGTTGCGCATCATATTCCATCAGCTCGAGTCGCTCCCCAGCTTTCCCCCACCAAATAATCGTGCGCCACGCCCCGAGGTCTTGCCTGGAGCAGGTAGACGCCATGGCCGATCAGGACACCAAGGCCCCAGAGGCCGCAGCCGTCACCACCTCTGCTGCGGAATTGGTCCCTGTCGCCACGCCAGAGGCACCCGCTTCGACAGCGCCGCCGCTGGCCGGGACTGCCGCCCCATCTGGAGATGTTCCTGCCGAGAAGCCTGCCGGGAAAACTGATGAAAGGGCGCCAGTCCCTACTCCTGCCCCTGCTGCCGCAGAAGCCCCGAACGCTCTTGAAGCGAAGTCTGCCGAGAAGACCGAGGCTCTGGCTCCTGAGCCTGCCGCCGCTCCTGCTCCAGCGGCTTCCAAGGAGGCTGAACCCAAGACCGCCGAGATAGGCGTTCCCGTCGCCCCGGCCCCAGCCCCAGCCGCCTCAGCCCCGCTGAAGGACCTCTGGACCACAGCCCAGGCACACACACACAAGGAGATCTGGGGCGTGTCGCTCACCGACCCGGAGACGCACGTACCATCACAAATCATCCTGCAAAAGTATCTCAACGCCAACGACGGTGACCTAGCCAAGGCCAAGGACCAGCTCACCAAGACGCTGGACTGGCGTGCCAAGACGAAGCCGCTGGAGTTGCTGGAGAAGAAGCACAACAAGGAAAAGTTCAGCGGGCTGGGCTACGTCACCACGTACACCACGGACACCGGTTCCAAGGCCAAAGAGGTGTTCACATGGAACATCTATGGCAGCGTCAAGTCCATGGATGATACGTTTGGAAAGTTAGAGGAGTATGTCCGCCTTTTCGCTGCCCTGCCTCGACTAGGCGTTGGAGTCCCTCGCGTGACACATGCACCCGCCAGCTCAGCCGTGACCCTTGAACCCTCCCCCGCTAACCTTGACTCTGTCATTTCTACCTAGTTTCATCAACTGGCGCGTGGCCTTAATGGAGCTTGCAGTGCACGACCTCTCCATCTCGACGGCGACCGAGCGCATCACGGCGGAGCAGGACCCGTACAAGATCTACCAGGTGCACGACTACAAGTCCATTAGCTTCCTGCGACAGGCGCCCGCTGTCAAGGCCGCCAGTAAGGAGACCATAACGGTCCTGGCGGCCAACTATCCGGAGCTGCTCAAGGAGAAGTTTTTCATCAACGTGCCCGTCGTGATGGGCTTCATGTACGCCGTGATGAAGCTCTTCGTGGCGCCCAATACGCTCAAGAAGTTCCACCCCATGAGCAACGGCGGCGCCCTGGCAGAGGAGTTTTCCGCCTCGGAGCTCCCGGGCCTCGGCGAGAAACTCCCCAAGGAGTACGGCGGCCAGGGCCCCGAGCTGTCCAAGCTGGGCAAGCAGACGCCGCTCGAGGAGTGATGGACTGGATAGGCGGGGTGCGTTGTTTGGCTATTCCGGGACGGTCCACGGAGACAGCTGTCGCATCACATCTCTTCTTTTTTTTTTTTTGCATGTGATACCGCCTCGTTTGTCACGCTATCCTGTTTCTTTGTTTGTTTCGTGCTTCTTTTCCTGCTCTTTAAAGATATCCACCACAATGACCTTCATTTAGTACCTAGGTAGAGGTAGCTAGACGCAAGTACCCGGTTGACTTGGAGAATAAACGTCGTCACCCTGCCAGTCCGAATACGGGAGTTGGATGGCATTGTTGAAGCATGGAGTCAGTGACCCACAGTAGATGGTAGGCACTAGGCAGATGCCGTGCTTTTTCTATCGTGTCATACGACCCCGACCCCACAAGGCGCGAATGTTCCAAGGCTGATCCTGGCAGAAATGCACTCGGGGGAGACAACCGGACAGACAAGAGGCACGTTAAATCCCCCAACACCAAGAACTTGGCCAATGTTTCACGCGGGCAAACCATTATGCTAGCCAACGACTCGGTTGCATGAAATGCCGTTGGGTGGGCTCGGACGACGGAACCGATGAGATAAATGGGAGGTCGGGCGGGCCAGGGGAGAGGCACCTTGCCCAAAAAGTAGCGATACACCAAAAGGATCCCATTTTTTACCAGATATTCTTAACACAACCGATTTATTTAAAAGCC